GAGTGTCCCAAAACAGTCCCCCGCAAGAGTTTCCTACAAGAGTGTCCCACAAGAGTGTCCCAGAAGAGTGTCCCACAAGAGTGTCCTACAAGAGTGTCCCAAAACAGTGCCCCGCAAGAGTTTCCTACAAGAGTGACGCACAAGAGTGTCCTACAAGAGTGTCCCACAAGAGTTTTCCACAACAGTGGCCTATATGAGTGTCCCACAAGAGTGTCCTACAAGAGTGTCCCACAAGAGTTTCCTACAAGAGTGACCCACAAGAGTGTCCTATAAGAGTGCCCCACAAGAGTGTCTTACAAGAGTGTCCCACAAGAGTTTCCTACAAGAGTGTCCTATAACAGTGTCCCACAAGAGTGTCCCACAAGAGTGTCCCACAAGCAAGAGTGCCCCGTAAGAGTGGCCCACAAGAGTGTCCTACAAGAGTGTCCCACAGGAGTGTCCTACAAGAGTGTCCCGCAAGAGTGTCCTACAAGAGTGTCCCAAAACAGTCCCCCGCAAGAGTTTCCTACAAGAGTGTCCTACAAGAGTGTCCCACAAGAGTGTCCCAGAAGAGTGTCCCACAAGCGTGTCCTACAAGAGTGTCCCAAAACAGTGCCCCGCAAGAGTTTCCTACAAGAGTGACCCACAAGAGTGTCCTACAAGAGTGTCCCACAAGAGTTTTCCACAACAGTGGCCTATATGAGTGTCCCACAAGAGTGTCTTACAAGAGTGTCCCACAAGAGTTTCCTACAAGAGTGACCCACAAGAGTGTCCTATAAGAGTGTCTCACAAGAGTGTCCTACGAGAGTGTCCCACAAGAGTGCCCCATAAGAGTGTCCCACAAGAGTGTCCTACAAGAGTGTCCTACAAGAGTGTCCTACAAGAGTGTCCCACAAGAGTGTCCCGCAAGAGTGTCCCACAAGAGTGTCCCTTAAGAGTGTCCCACAAGAGTGTCCCACAAGAGTGTACCGCAAGAGTGTCCCAAATGAGTGTCCCACAGAATTGTCCCACAAGAGTGTCGCGCAACAGTGTCCCGCAAGAGTGTCTCACAAGAGTGTCCCTTAAGAGTGTCCCACAAGAGTGTCCTGCAACAGTGTCCCACAAGATTGTCCTACAAGAGTGTCCCACAAGAGTGTCCTACAAGAGTGTCCCACAAGAGTGCCCCACAAGAGTATCCCACAAGAGTGTCCTACAGGAGTGTCCCACAAGAGTGTCCCACAAGAGTGTCCTACAAGAGTGACCCACAAGAGTGTCCCACAAGAGTGTCCTACAAGAGTGTCATTTGGACATATGTAGCTTTTCGAACGCGTTTGCATTCGGGTTCGTGGGCTCCATCTTGTTTTTTTTGTGTGAGCGATGTTGACCTGCACTGCCATGCTAGGGCTTTTGACCCTCCCCACGCCACTGAGGATTGGGGTGCAGGTGATGCCCCTGCCACCGAGAAGCGAAGTGGTGATGGCACCGCCTGTGGCGGTGGTGCCGCAGCCCAGCGAGTGCAGTTCTCCCCGCCCTCCCAGGGAGGGACCCCCAGCCTTGGGCCTGGGGACTGTGGCTTCGGGGCGGCGCCAATCGCTGACGGCCGGGCGAAGGCAGTCGCTGAGCGAGCAGACGCAGCGGGGGCAAGACTTGAAAAAGTTGGCGAGGACTTCGCGACTTGGGGAGTGAAGAAATTGGGTTTCAGCTGCGGTTAGAAGGATTGTGAAGGGGTGTTGGGCAGAGTGGAACGATAGTGAAAGGAAGACCTGGCATTTGGGAATGAAGGGAGTTTTGGCCATGAACCTCTTGCGGTTGGGGAAGGAGGTGAACATTGAAGATTCAGCATTTCTTCCTCCAGACCTACGTACTATAGTCAGTGTTAATCAAACTCATTCAACATTAAGCTATCAGAATTTGGTTCTCGAAGGCGCAGCGCCAGGATCAACAAAGCTGTGAGCTGGAAATGGGAGGCCTTCACGAAAACGATGTCACAGAAAAGCTCCGCAGAGTTTGTTTTGCAAGATGTTCTTGGGGATCTGTGACATTCGTAACGGTGTCACGGTGTGATTTCTTTTGTGCGCACTTTGGGGCCTTTCTCATGTTACTTGCATCACCCGTTTGGTTTTGGACGTGAGTTCTGGGCTGCCTTCTGAATTACACGCCCAACCGGAACCTAGGGTCCACTCAGTGTACCCATGACACCTCCTCGGTGTCAGTCTTCGCGGATCCTCTCAGGCAAACATCGATCTTGATGAGTGAGGGCGCGATCGCCCACGAGATCCTCTTCGAGAAGATCGGAGTGGGCCTCTTCACCCGTTGCCGGAGGAGCTTGCTGACCCTGCTGTGTTTGGTCGCCTGCCTCCAGACCAGCTGCACCGTGCTGGTCTATAGCTACGACCTCGGACATCCTTCCAGCGGCCCGGCTGAGTCCTTGCGCTTTGGGAGGTCCCAGAGCGTCCCGGGTGACAGGGCCGTGGTTAAGAGTTCTTATGGACCTTGAGGTGAAAGGTGAGGCGAAGGTTGCTTGCGCTTCACAGCTGGCCCCGCTGACCAGAGGTTCAGAGGTTCAAGGCAGGCAGAGGTGTTCCTCTAATGCTCAGCCCCCTAGGGCCGTAGTGGCCCTTCATGGCCCGTTCGTGAGCTGTGAGACTTCGTTTGGAGCACGATTTTGGGCCGTAGCCTGCCGCTCAGCCAGGCTACATTTGGACGCAGGTGTTACTTGGCATTGAAGAGTTTTTCTTTGAATTCTTGGCCTTAGTCCGATGTCTCAATGCATTTGGACAAATCATGTTGTGCTTCAATCCCTTCCCCTTGATTGATAATGAATGAGCCGCCCTCGGCCCTCACCGGAGTTCTTAAGATCCATCTTGTTCCAATGAGGCCCATCTGCAACAGATGGGGGGTTCCATCATGGTGAAACAAGACCTCATCTTTAAGGTGTTTCCCCCCCGCGAACCGGTCCCCCCAACCCCCCGACCATGTCCCAGTTCCGGGCGCGGACGGAGCGGCCCAAGAATGAGGTCCACCTTATTCTTCACCTTGCTCGCCATCCTCTTTGTCAAACTCATTTTCAATGCCGTGATGTCCCCCGACCTGAACACTGCACTGGATCGGATCGACCGCTACGTGCACAACTGCGACATGGGACCGGTCGTGCGTTGTGTCGTGCGGTTACTCGTGCGGGGTCTCCCGCGCGCGGAGCCATGTTCCGCCGAGCGACTTGCGTGCAAAAGATCCTAGGCCAACAGATAGCCTGGGTCAATGGGATGTAAAAGAACCTCATGCAGCAGACAGTTCCATGTTGGGGTGCTATCCATGGAGGTTAGGGCCGTTAGGGTAGGGGTGCCATGGGGTCATCCTCGGGACTGGAAAACACCCAACTCCATGTGACTCCTGGCGGTCCTGGCAGTTTCCACGTCTTCACGCTTCTTTCTCCAGTGGTTTGGTCGATGTTTCACTCGTGGCAGTTTGCCACGGCGGCCTCGAGATTTCCGGGGTCTCGTGTTCTGGCCCCCCAAAAAAACACATCATTAAGAGGTCCATCTAGAGTCCTTCTTCCCTCCTCCCCTCCTCCCATCCTGATCCCCGGACTCGACTCCAGGACTCGACTGGCAGAGCATGGCGCTGCGTGAGGGCTTCCGTGCACGCGTCCTGTGGATCGTCTCCTGCGTGGGCTTCTGCGCGCTGCAGTTCGTGGAGGCGCGCCGCGTCGCGTCCTCCGTTGGACGCTGCACCGGCCAGACTGGTAGATGGAGATGTAGACTGATAGGGCGACGCTGGAAGCAGTTGAGCCAAGGGCTCGACGGCATTCTTTCTGGAGAGGTGGTGAGACTGTTTGGTCTTGTTTGGTTTTTGATGCACCAAGAAGTGGCACCCAAGTTTGTCCTTAAAGCCAGTATGCCGTTCATCTCCTGGAGCCGAATCCGATTTCGACTGTCCTTGGGTGTCTCAGGGTAGGTGCTCCGCAAAAGGGAACTGAGGCAGAGAATGCATCTACGAAGAGTAGATGGCACTGGCATCTACTTCAGTAGATGGGGCCCACCATTGCACCTTTTGGGGAGCGTGCCATCTACTCTCAATCTAGTCCTGCAGTCCACCCACCCGTTTCCAGACGCGTGGCCCCCGCGGCGCGGTGCCACAAATCACAAGCCCGAGGGATCCACAGACCTTCTGGGCCCGGTACGACTGGACCCGGTACGACTGGATGGCACCCGGAGAAGGTACGACTGGATCCCTAGGGAGGTGATTCTTCCAAGGTTGTGTTTTAAGACCTCTCTTCCACTACTTACGGAACGCGGAACGCGTAGTTGTCGGACATGTCACACGGACGCGCGCCATGTATTGACACATTGAGCCTGAGGTGCCTGCCGCCCACCACATCCGGGCTAGCCGCCGTAGTCGCGTGATCCCGATCCAAGGGAAAGAAAGAACAAATGATACCGGGATCATCCATCCTTAGCAGAAAGAACATTGACATATCATGTGCCTACTACGAAGAGCTTGAAGACGTTTCCCTCGCGAACCAAATCTCGTGACAATAAGAAACTAGGAGAAACCATGGGTCTGGCAAGGGCCGCCACCATGTCATGTACCTTCTCCTCGTGGGGGGCAAGTGTTTCGTCATCCTCTCGGCGGAGTGTCGACCAGGAATGGAACTTGGGCCAAGGCATCTACGATAAGCAGGCCTGGCAGCGCTCCGCTGCGGCCGAACATCTCCATGTTATCACTTGGGCTGCAGGGTCAATCCACGTTTGTCAATTTGTGAACCACAGTCAACCTGCACACCATCCGCATCTGGAGATGGAGGCCATCACTCTTAGGTTGGAGGCCATCGCTAGTAGGTTGGAGGCCATCGCTGGTAATTAGGTTGGAGGCCATGGCTCTTAGGTTGGAGGCCATCGCTAGTAGGTTGGAGGCCATCGCTGGTAATTAGGTTGGAGGCCATGGCTCTTGGGTTGGAGGCCATCGCTAGTAGGTTAGTTGGAGGCCATCGCTAGTAATTAGGTTGGAGGCCATCGCTCTTAGGTTGCAGGCCATCACCCTTTATTGGGTTGGAGGCCATCACCCTTTATTAGGTTGGTTGGAGGCCATTGCTCTTTGGTTGGAGGCCATCGCTATTAAGTTGGAGGCCATCGCTCTTAGGTTGGAGTCGGTTGGAGGCCATCGCTTTTAATTAGGTTGGAGGCCATCGCTAGTAGGTTGGAGGCCATCGCTATTAGGTTGGAGGCCATCGCTATTAGATTGGAGGCCCATCGCTAGTAGCTTGGAGGCCATCGCTCTTAGGTTGGAGGCCATCGCAATTTGATTGGAGGCCCATCGCTTGTAGGTTGGAGGCCATTGCCCTTAGGTTGGAGGCCATCGCTAGTACCCACCCAACTCCGTGTTTCGCACAATGACCGCCAAGGCCACGCCGAAAAACGGTACAAGTTACAAGTGAACAACACCGGACCCCTCTTATTTTCATGTCCGACACCTTGCAGATTCGTTCATTCATCTCCACCATTGGTCATCCCCAACAGAGATCATCTCCTTTTGGATGAATAGGATGTGTAGGATGTTTGGCTTTGGGCATGCTGCATCCTCATGTGATTTGTGGCTTTGTCGGCTGTGGCTAGCTAGCCATCCCCAATCTTCTTAGGGGCGGCTTTGCGGCTTTGCAGAGATCTGATGTGCTGAGAGAACCCTACTCTTGGTCATGTATCAGACTGTATCAGAATCCTAGGAAGTATCATGGTCTTTGCTGGGGTCCTTACTTGGGCGGGAGTCCCCAAGTCAGTTCCACTAGTCGGTCGGCAGGCTTGATCAATTCATTTTGTCCTTGGAGAGACATCAGAAGATCAGGGTCTCGAGGGTCTTTGGTTCCAGAGTGATCCTGGCGTGGGGATGATGTCTGTTCTAGAATGGATGACCTGCCAGTGGGGATTGAGGACTCCTGGTCCACGCCCAAGAACTGACATGCCAGTCTTTTGCATACGTTTTTCATTGGAGACTTTCCGGCAAGCCATGCCGCATGCCTCCAACTCCACGTGGCGTTACTCCCACAAAAAGCATTGTGACGATGGCTCAAGTAGTTAGTTCATATCCTTGGTAATGCTTTTAGTTATCCACACATGACTTTATGACACATGAGGGTCTTTCAGACTTTAGGTCGTTTCTATTTTTAACATATTTACCTCCATGTTTCATTTGGAGAAGCTTTCTCCGATGCGCTGGCCGGCAGGAGGTGGAGGAGGTGGAGCTGGCTTGGGCACGGAACCTCTCCTACTTCAGCGCCTCACTGGCCTGGACTGAACAAGCAGGAAACCAAGAAACAAATATAAATATATACCAGCAGCTCCAAAGGGGTGCCTATTAGAGGATAAGGGTGCCCATTATTCACTTAAGGCTTAAGGACTAAAAGCCACCCCTTTGTGACTGTGACTCCCTACCTATATGTATATATATAGGGTGAACCCCCCCCCAACAATAGATAGCGGCACGGTTTCTTGTATACATTTTCTATGTGGGGATCTATTAGTCTACTGTTTACTACTGTTCTATCATCTATTTGGGGGTCTTGACCAATCGAAACAACATGCCAATGTGGCAGGGGGCATGATGGTGTTCTTGGTCATGTTCTGATCCATGCGGATCCATGCGGATTCTCCACACCTCCGGTGCCATCGGCCCGGACGGCGGACGCGGACCGAGGCGCAGTGGTGACCACCATTGAGTTTGTCCTCTCCAGTGCCATCGTGATCAAGGGCACTTGGTTCCAGTGCACCCCGACACCCAACAGTGTTTTTTTTTCTCGGGACAAGAAAAGCGAGAAAGCGAGTGTGTCTAGTGTAGTACAGCGTGTGCATGTGTGTATATAGTGCGTGTAGTGTGTAGTGTGTGGTGTTGTGTGTGTATTGTGTGTGTCACCTCTCATCTCTAGAGATTCTACCTACTATTTTAACTTGTACAGTTCAAAGCAGGGTGCATGGCAGCTGTTTCCCTAGCCATGCCAACGAAGCTCTTGCTTCTGCTTTTCCTTTTGCTTCTGCTTCTGCCTTTGCTTTTGCTTTTGCTTCTGCGTTTGCTTCTGCTTTTGCTTTTGGCTTTTTGCTTCTGCTTTTGCTTTTGCTTTTGTTTTTGCGTTTGCTTTTGCTTTTGCTTTTTGCTTCTGGCTTCTGCTTTTGCTTTCTGCTTTTGCTATTGCTTCTGCTCTTGCCTTTGCTCCTGCTTCTGCTTCGGTTTTTCCTGCTGCTTTTGCACTTGCTTTTGCTTCTGCTTCTGCATTTGCTCTTGCTTCTGCTTTTGCAATTGCAAATAGGCAGCTTGAAGCACTGAACGTATGCCTTGCGTTAACAACCCAGGGGCACAATTTAGAGGAGGAAACCCGAAGAACGCCTAAGAGACCCGAAGCCGGCAGACAACCGCAGAAAAGTCCCCATTATAGTTCCTCACTCCACTTTCCTCACTCCACTTTCCTCACTTCGTTTTTCTCTTTCTCTTTCGCTTTCGCTCTCTCTTGTCTTTTTTGATCTCTCTCTCTCTCTCTCGCTTTGCGGTGCATATAACAGTTATCATACTGTAGATATATTTTAATATACGAAAGGCCGAAGAACTCTTAACAGAAGTGCCCAAAGAAACCCTAAAGACATGAAGCCGAACCCAAAGAAACCGGAAACCACTGAAACCCAAAGACAGCGGCAAAGAAGTCCCCCTATTATAGTTCCTCTCTCCTCTTCCTCACTTCTACTTCTCCTTCGTTAAGTGGGATGCCTTTTCTGCCCCCTCCCTTTGTCACCGTCTCGTTCTCTCCCCGCTGGCTCTGCTGCTTCGTCCCCTGATCTTTCTGCTGCTCCTGATGCTTGTAAAGCACTCCCAGATAAAAAAAACGCGAAACAAATGACCAGAAAAATCCGAAAGAAATTCCCGGAAAAAACACTTCCATCTTTCTGCCGGCTTCTTCTTCCAAGCCGGAACCATGGTTTCTTCCCCTCCGACTCTCGCGTGGCCGGGAATTTGGTCGACGCTGGCGCCCACCAGGCAACTTGTTGGCTGGATTGAGTAAGACCTTGGTGACCTGGCTGCGTTTCTCCCTCGGGTCGGGGGGTCCGTGTGGCAAGTCGGAGGGATATAGGGATGGCGGCTCGGAGGGATGGCGACCGGGTGACCGGGCCCTGCTAGGTCGCGAAGCTTTTGGAAGGGGAAATGGGATGACCTTTCCATATCCTTTTCCTGCTACTGATTTGGAGTGTGTTCATGACCTTGGTCAAAGGCACAGGGTTCAAAATGTTAAGAGATGTTGGATGGCCTGGAGTGTGTTCAGAGAATAGGTGGCCAATATGCACACACACACATATATATATATATAGAGAGACGGCTAGATAGATAGATAGATAGATAGATAGACAGACAGACAGACAGACAGACAGACAGACAGATAGATAGATAGATAGATAGACCCACCTTGGAAACATGAATGCTTTGCAACGTTCTCCTACTCTGATGCCAGGATTGCTGGTGCAGTGATATTCTGCTGGACGTTGACTTTGAAGCAGCGGTCAGCAGTTGGAACTCTTTACAGGCATGTGGAAGCAATCCAGGGTGTACATTCCTCAACGGCAGAGGGAGTGGGCTCCAATTGCCAAGTCGCCTGACCAAGGCTTCAACCGGAAAACGCAAGGAGCAGAGTTGGCAACAGTCTTTGACTTCAGAGTGTGTGCCGTGCGAAAACCTCCACGCGATCTGATGCACACCCCCAACGATGTGAACCCCCTGATTTGGTTGGGGTTGCATGGTGGGAAGGTACAGGGAGGGGAGAGAATCCGGTGAGATGATGCCTCCTTTCGACCGAAGGATGCCACACGGATCGATCGCCAGGCCATCCTGAAGTCGGTGGGCCGCGAACTGGGGCATTGCTTCCTCGCGCTGCAGATTTTGGGGAACGTCGGCCGCGTGGTTGGAACATGGACGTCGACTGCACCAAGTGGACCCCCCTGAGGAATGAAGCAACGGTAGCCGTAAGGTAGACTCTTGATTCGCGAAAGGAGGACACTTTTTTTCGGGAATTCCACTTTTTAATGCAGAAAGAAGTGCAACCCTCCAATAGTGAAGAGGCTTTACAATCCATGGTTTACTAGTATAGTCTGTAATGAGTCTAGATATGTCTAGCGGTTAGGAAGTGTGCCTGTCCTGGATGCGCCAGGGCCTGGGTCAGTAATTCTGTCCGGTGAAAGGCCATTGGCTGCACCCAACGGGCCCGGTCCGGCCTGTTTTCTTCGACATCTCTTTCCCGGTGGGGGGCAGTAGCTGGGACTTGAGGTTTGATCACCGCCTTGGCGGGCGCCTTCAGCTTGGTCCTCTTCTCGGAGCAATCCTTCGACTCGCTCATCTTCCAGGACCAGTTGTTGGGCGCGACAGGTGGTGAGCGACACACAATCATGGGAAGTGGAGCAAGGACGAGGCTGTAGAGGAAAGCTTGGAAAGCCGTCCGGAAAGGATTTTGTTGTCCACTTCGATTTTTTTGTGGGTAGAGTAGGGTAGTATATGTCTTATGAGCAGTACCGTGCTTACAGAAATGGATTGCAGCCCCAAATCCCACGATGTTAGCTTTGATGTGGATGTTGCGAGTTCGTGAACCGACATGGAAACAGTGATTCAATGAAGTTGCTTTTCTTCCTTGCTGGAGGGTCACCTGTCTCCTAGGAGTTGGCCATGCTCCCTTTGCTGCTACTCTTCGCGCTGGCGGCACGCTTGTTGGGCGAGGGCGGGGCACTTACTAAGAAATGCCTCTTGGACTGCAAGTGGAGGTAAGGGCTTTTGAGAAGGTCCAGTCACTGGGGTGATCGGAGGGTAGAATGTCCATGATCCACTCACTATATTCTTTTCCACCTGATCTTGGAACTTCTCAATTGAATCGCGATTGGATGTGAGCAGTGAGCCACCTGAACGTCAGGGTGGGCGGGGTCGATGATCTGAAGGTCACCCAGGGACAGCATGGGACTCCGGTACAGACCAACCACCATACCTGCGAGGTATCAGCACCAGGGCGCTGAGGGATGATGGGAAACTTTCTAGGTCCTTCCTCTTTCAAGACTTGGCAGTCCTTTTTTGATCGTGCAAGTGCCATACTCTGCTTTGTTATACTGTTAAACAATGCATATTATCATCCTTAACGCATCATCCCCGATGCGTACTTGAAGCCAAATTCTCTCTCTCTCTCTCTCTTTCCTAGGTGAGGATGTGCCCGCGTTCGTGAACCAGTTGGGGTCTACCGAGTCCGACCCTGCCCGGCAGTATTTGGTGCAGTATATCCTCCAGAGCCGTCCAGGCTTCATCGTGGGAGGCCGGGTTGGACACGTTCGCGGCACCCCGCGGGGCGGCGTCTGTGGGATTGGCAAGACCTCAAGGGCTTTTCGGAAAGGTGGTGGTCTTTGGAGTGCACAGCTGCTCTGTGGGGGTGGGGGCGGGGTAACGTGCCAAGCTTTTGCACAACTGAGGGGTTTCAGGGCCTCTTCCGCGGTAACATGGGCTACCGCCCCACCCCAGAGCCAGTGCTGCTAGCGAGGCGCTACACTGAGCTACAGCGTCTTCTTCAAGTTGATGGTGACTCTAGCCACCTTGGTATCGGGCGTCCTTGGGATGTTACTGAGGAAATATGTGTGAGGTCTCCTGGTTGACCCGGTCTTGTTGATGACACAGTCGAAAGCGAACACTTGCGGGCCATGTACGGTGCGCAAGCACATTCCTTTTTCTGAAGATGGCCCCTCCTCCTACATCAAGGCCATATGAAAGGCCGTTGATGTGGTTGAGGAACTTTTTAAAGCTTGAGACCCTTTAAGGTGGAGCAAGAATGGGCACGCATAGGTGCCCGGTGCTTGTGTTGAAGTCGTTTGAACCTAGACTGCCCCCTTTCCGAACGGAAAGCGCATCGTCTGGCATTTTCATTGTCCTGCTTCTCCGAGGCCCCTCTTGATCGGATCAAGATTTGATGGTCGCATCTGTTTCAGAATCTGAAAGAGACAAAGATCCATTCAGGAGATTTCAGGGGCCGAGCCTCGGGATTTTCCAAAGATTCCATTTTTTCAGCATTTGTGGCACTTGTCCAAGCACCTTCCCGGAGCTCCCAAGGGCTCCGCTGCATGGGGGTGGCTCACTTTTGTCCCAACCGAGCGAACTTATCAGGGCAGTTGAAGGGATGTTGTAGGAAGATGCTGGCCCATCCGAAGAAAGAATCATAAGGTTTCCGCACCGGGGGTGTTACTGTGAGCTCCTTGAGAAGGGAAGGTTCTGCACACGCGCAATCTGCGGGTGATATGTTTGCTGGACTGTGCAAGCTGCGGAAGAAGACCGCAGGGTGATGCGGCCTTTGCACGGAAAAAGGGGGGGCGCAATGGGACATGTGTCGGAAGTGCTTTGGAGAAATGTCCACTCCAGTGGTCCGGCTCCTCCTTCAATTGACAAGGACGCACCAACACTCCCCAGAACTAACATGGACGTGGATCATTGCCTGTTTGCAGAGGAACATGGCCTTCCAAGAGGCCATGCCATCCACGTAAGCCTGTTAGTTACCGGGAGTGTGGGTGGGAGAGAAGTGGGACCAGTTCCTGTTCGCCTTCGGTGATTGGAGGTCCAAGAGGTCCAGGCTCTTGGCCCGGAACTGAACGTCAACACGTTTTCTGGAATTGGGATGCCAGCCAATGGCCCTTAACTTAGAGGCCTTCTAGATTCTAGATCGCACCAGCTCCAGGTCCAGCTTCCCTGCCGAGTCTGGGCTCCTGGGCCAACCCCTCCACAGGGCGCGGCTTCGCGCCATGCCGCGCCGCGCTGCCTCCGCCGACGCGGCGCCGCGCGCCGCGGACGACCGCGCGGTGGAGGCGCTGGGCGCGCTGCTGGAGAGGCAGTTTGAGGCGATGAGAGCCGAGCAGAGGGCGAACCATGAGGAAGTCTTGAAGGAGACTTTTGAAGTTTGGGCGAATCATGAGGGGGTTAAAACGGTCAAGGCAACAGGAGCGAGCTGGCTAGAGGTTGCGATATTTCTCGATGCTGTCCTGGCCACAAGACAACAGGCTTGGGTCGAAACAAACATAAACACACCATAGAGGACCGATCCAGAAACAGGCCACGAGCTGTCGGAGCTAGCTTCGGGATGCTGATGCATTCTGAAGGGTACACAGCTGGTTGGTCTTGACCGGCCTCCCGCACCAAAGATCACTGCTATCAAAAAAGACTTTAAGAAAAATACTTTAAAGGAACCAAATAGCGATGGCCTCCAACCTAGTAGCAGCAAAGATCACTCTTCTCAAACTCTTCGATGACTTACACGTTGCCCCGCCATTCGGGCTAGGCCTGTAAGCCAAAAGCCTAACTGAGTAAGGGCCACGAATTAAGAAAAACAGAGGCCAGCATGGGCTACCCTTCCAACAGGCAAACTCATGCAGAAGGAAGGGGCCTGCAGTGGCCCTCAAGTGCAATGTGGGGTGGTTTCATGGGAAGTCCATTGAAGTCTTTGACCCCTGGAGGGACAAAGGGGGGCAGCGTTGGACCTCTGCCTGGCGTGCCTAAGCGCCACGTGGTTGGTATTGAACACGGGGCTCGCGAAAGAGGGTAGGTGGGCAACAGCCCAGAGGAGATCAACGACACCCAACAGGCCCTGCAGTTGCCTTGCCTTTGTACGAATCGCGTGCAGTTCCGGGTGGACCAGTCCACCCCTCGCATCCTTTGTAGGAGATCCGTCGCATCAAACAGCCCAGCTCCTTCGAGAAGCTGCGACAGAATTCCGCTGGCAGCGCCGTCCACGGCGGCGCGGCCAATGTGCGGCGGCCAGTGCCGCCGTGGCAAGAGGTGCAGCGTAGCGTGAAGCAGGAGCTGCCGCGCAGCGGTGAGTTCATGACGCGGCCGGGGCGGTCGTTTCAGGCGACAAGCCTTTGGGTTCGTCAACGCGATACGTTATTACTTTTTCGAAGTCTGGGGGCTGCAAAAGCAAGATCTGGTGTTTTCACTAGCCCAGTGACTGGCCAGTATGACATCATTATGGAGGTTCTTGTTTTTTGGGGTGGTGCTTCGGGCCTGACCCAAGCCAGCCTAAGAGCTCACAGAGGGGGTCAGGGCAGATTTTCCATTTGCCATCTTGATGGCAATGTCAGTTCTCCAATAATATGCCAGTCAAATTCAATCAATACTTTTGCGCACCCATGGTCGATATTTTTGATAAGGACTCAGTACTAAGTTAGACAAATTTGAGACGCTTTGCAAGTTCCATTTGGACTAACAGACTTCTACCAGGTCCATCTCAACTGTGGACAACAAACACCTTCTTGTGGGGCAGCTGCTTTCGTTGCAAGCTTCTTGAACGAAAACCATCGTGCAGCAGGCGGCGTAGCAAGCGACTGTTCAAACTCTTTGACCTCAGAAGAGTTGGGACCATGTTGGACCTCTGAACCTGTTGGATTGCACCAGGTTTGTCATCAATGGTGGGAATGGTGGGGGGGCATGCTGGGCCAAAGGCCAGAGGGGGGCTGTCAGGCTGTCTAAGACCCGAGAGGCCAGAGGTAATCCGCGGGGTGGCCAAAGGGCTTCCGGTCCTAAAGCGCCCAGAACTTCCTCCAAGCAACTGATGCCTTGGAGCGCCACCCCGCGTGCCGGACTCGCATGCCCACCGGGGTGAAACACCACAGGTTCGCCAGCAGGTGAGCCATCCTGCAGATCTCAGGAAGCTCCTCAACATCTTGAACAACAGCTATATACCGGGCATTTTGGGGGGCTGAAGCGACCTCAACCTCTTTATGAAACCCCGCCCTCGCAGACACCGGCAGAGCGGCCGACGCCGAGCTGGCGGCTGCTTCACCGTTCCCACCGAGGCTGCACAGCGTCTCGGGCCGTCGGGTGGTGCCCGTGGTGCCCGCCGAGCCGCCGAAGGCGCCACCGGTGCTGGCGCTCGAGGCCGCGGCGGAGTCCTTGGGCCCCGCGGAGGCGTCGCCTGCGCGGGAGAGGAACTCGATGACGATGGAGACGCCACGGGGGATGGAACTGAAAGTGTTGGCGAAGACGTCGCCACTTGGAAGGCAAGGGGCGGGCCCATGGGGCTTGGCCACTGCGAGGAGGAGGAGCAATAGTGCAATCTGGTGGGGTGAACATCAGTGAAACATGGGTGAGCGCCTTGATGCCCTGGTTCATCCGATTGAGGTACCCGTGAACTTCCTTCCGTGACGCACGGATTTCTCTTCGCATGGCTGGAGGAAGGGCGATTGGAGGAAGGTCCTTCCGGCTAGACCATTAGGCGTCCAAGTCCATTCTGAAGTGTGGAAAGCAAAAGAGAGACGGCTTGCAGTGTTTTCCAGAGACGACTCGCGGGTGAGAAGCCATGCGAAGCTTCGGACGTACAACCCACAGTACAACCCACTCACTCAAATGAACCCCCGTGACCATTCTAGGTGGCCACCGGCTGCCCTCATGCAACAAACACCCCGTGTGAGGACACCCGTGGGGACATGCATCGTCGTCCTATCATCTCTGTGTCCCCCAGACGGTCCGCTCCGAGACATAAGCCGCATTGACTGGTGTCCCATGCATTTTGGTTGGACGGTGCTAAGGCAAACGACCATTCTGCAAGGCAGCCTGGAGATTGCCCATGAGATCTTGTTCGATTTGATTGGAGTGGGCTGCTTCACGCGGGGCCGCAATGCCCTTCTGGGGACCTTATTGCTGGTGCTCACGCTCCAACTCACCTGTACAGTGGTCATGCACATCTATGGGCATGTGCATCCTTCAGGTGAGCTCAGTGCAGTGCGCACTTGGATGGGTGGGACCGTGTAGCAAATGCCAATCAAGGTTGTTGAAGGACAACAGGGCCTGGTGTATCACAGGTGCTGTTCTGAATTGCTCATCAGCAGCGAGTCTTTTTTTCCGCGTATCTGCAAGAAAAACAATTCACCAAACCCGAATTTGCTTTTTGATATATATATATATATACTAAAATATATTATATTACAGTATAGTATAATGTAATATAGTATAATATAATAGCTCTCGTTCTCATCTTTCCCCACTGGAGTATCTGGGGTGAGCTGGGCCACGCTGGGCCGGTGGCCGTTTGACCGGTCGCACGACCGTGGATGAATTGGATTCGTCGGCACGGCACGGCGAACACGGCGGAGCCGCAGGCTTCGTTTGGGCCAACATCTCGACGATCTTCTTCATGATGGTGGAGACTCAGCTTGCGAAAAACGCTCAGGAGGAGTTCCCCATGTAGTGCCGAAAAGACGAAGCTCTGGAGAAAAAGCACCGCGTGCCGGAGGGTCGAGATTCAACCTGCTGAAGGTGCCATGTTGGGCCTATCTCCTTGATTCTGCTTGGTATTTTCTGGCCTCCGAAGACCCGTCGGACTTGCACGTTTCTCGAAGCCGTCCACCTGATCGCGAGCTGAGGCCATCCTCTTCATCAAGCTGATCCACGCCTGTGCACACTCCAAAGATCTGCACATGGCCCTGAATCGCATTGAGCTCTTCCTCCATGACTGTGAAATGGGACTCTGGGCGAAATCCCATGGGACCACCTGGGCAGGGCGGATGGGCGCGGGTCTTTTGTCGGCCGAGAGGGCGGTCCGACGCATTGGGAAGAACCGCCCGGCCCCCGGCCATTCGTAGCCTGTGTGCACTTCTTCGCGGATCTGGATCGAAGGGGACCAGCCTGAAGCGGATGCTTCAAACGTGAACCCCCCCCCTGGGCCGCCTTCGATCCGAAGGTCCGATCCCGTCAGTGTGCCGGCCGGAGGTGAGATGGAAAGGAGTGCTTCTGTGCTTTTGACGGAGAGGTTGACGGTGGCTGGATCTAAATAAGGTATCTCCATTGGGAGCTCCAATCATCGTCCCTCGTTCATCACTCATTCCCAACACCTTCTTTCGTCTCCGCACGGACCGTGTGGAGAGTTCTGGAGCTTCACCCGTTGTGTGTGGAGACGCTTAAGCTGTACGCTGTTCACGCTTGCTTGCTCAGTACGCTGAGTTCCGTGCAGCGGTTTCAGATGGCACAGACCCCAAGATGTCCTTTTAAAAGGGGTCCATACAAACCACCTGCTGGCGTCTGTGCCATCTACTCTCAATCCTATGTATAAATAAACATATATATATATACACATGGCTTGAGTAGCCAAGCAGCATCAAGCCACATTGTTGTAGTGTTCCAAAACCGACCTCTTCTTCGGACCGGAGCTGGGACTCCCATGTCGCATCGAAACGTCCGGTTTCGTGACACCGAGGACTCGATTGGAAGACGATGTCTTCTCGGGAAAGTCTTCGTGCCAAAATCTTGTGGATCATTGGGTCGATCAGCTTTATCTCGATCTCCATCATCGAGGAACGGACACTTGCCTGGCCGATACCGAATAGGTATACGGCGCGGGGAGAGTTCTCCCTACCCTATTCCCAGACACGACGCCCGCATAGGACTGCCGAGAAACGACCAGGGGTGGTGCCAGGGGGGTCAAAGGGGCAGTGGGTATAGAATTGATCCGCTTGTTCGTTGGGGGTTGGAACCGACGGTTTGGTGCTTGATTGGGGGGGGCATGGACGCCGCAAAAAAAACAAAAAATCGCCAGACGTCTTCTTCTAGTCCGAATTTCCTTGAATTCACCGGGGCAAAGAGCAAGCGGTGAGAGAAATCCTTTTAACGTTGGGGGGCTCAGGTTGTACTTGCAGGTAGTATGCCAGCAGCCAGCGAACAGGAATAGTTTACAGAGTTCTACAGAATTATTTAACTCGATACTCTATATAACTCTTGCTTTAAGTCTTTTCATTTGGGTTTGCTGGCAAGGTAGTTTCAGGAATTAAGTCAAGACTCAATTCGTTTCAGGAGTCTTGGTTCATACATGAATTCCCTTTACTGTAGATTCAATTACTTTCCATTGCAGTTGTTCTGCCAAGCGCTAATTCCAGAGTTAATTCTACCTGGTCGGATGCTCCACTCAGTGTTTCCTGGTTTGGTGCGGAAGAGTTATATAGTTCCAGAGTTTTTGCCGCCCTGGTCCGAACCTTTGTATCTTCCTAGTGCTAGTCAACTCAAAGGAATACACCAAACAGGAAGTCGTGCAAACAGGCATCCAAAAAGGCCCACTGTAAGAGAATTAATTAGATCCACAGATGCTTCTTTCCCAAACCGTGGCCATAAAGAGACAGTTTTTACTCTCCCTGGTCCAAACCTTTCTAGTTTCCTAGTCTCCAAAAAGTATAAGAAAAAAACACCTTGCAACAGAAGTAAACTCTTGACATGTAGATGTCCAAGGGGCTTGGACAGAATTCATTCTGGACTATATCGTTTGATAAAGTTATTCTTGAAAGACTCTTGAAGCCAGTCCCTTCCGGCAGCGCTGTGTATCGTCCGGCCACGGGCGCGGTGAATTTGGCAATGCCAGGGTAGCCGGTCAGCAAGGTCAGAGGGGTACGGTCTTTGGCTTTATGATCATGGATTCCCCATCATCACCATAATAATTATCATCACCACCACCATCATCCTCATTCTGGACTAATATCCTCCTCCTCCTCTTCCTCCTCCTCATCGTCATCATCATCGTCATCGATTGTTTAGTCCCCTATCTCAGGAACGTGGCGCTGGGCTTGCACGACGACGAGGCGCCCTCGGGGGTTCCGGGCGTTGTGATTTTTCACCAGCGACGGTCGCGGGTGCCAGAATTGAATCGCTTTAAGCGGATTGAAGACCATCGGAGCAAATAGGTGATTTGATTAACATGATAGTGTAATGATATGCCATTATACAAGAAACATTCGGTTGCGCACAAACACACATACATATATACATATCTTCTTGTACCCGGGAGATATTTATGCATTTTAGAGCGAGAGTGAGAGAGAGAGAGAGATATATATATATACATATAGGGAGAGAACCTGACAGAGCTCCTAACTAGGATTTGGTTGAGTTGATCTGCCCTCCCGTGATCCCTTCCTTCCTTGGCTTTGCGCGTGCGCTCGGTGCTGCTGGATCAGATCGTGGATCTGTACCTCGCCCAGGTGACAGATCCCATGTACCTTCCACTGGCGCACAGCCTTTCGCACCTCAGTTGCGTGATCACCTGTGTGTCCTTCCTGCTCTCGAGCGCCGTGGTCTTGAAAGGCGCCTGGTTTCAGTGCACCTGGGACAGCACCATCGGGACAGCGGACTCGCCACACCGGAGGAAGGAACGAAAACAAGAGGTAAACAAGAGGTGACGGAGACTTATGAGTAGAGACTGGCAGTAGCAAGTAGCAGCTTGGAAGACGAGTGTCCTCGACTGCTCAAGGTGACTTTTTCCTTTCCTTTCCTTTCCTTTGTTGCCAGCATTTTGGATGAGCTTATGAGCCCCAAAGCCACATAAGCCGCATGCATTCTTCTGAGGCAACTTGCTGAATGGATTGAGCAAGACCTTGGCTTCCTGGATTTGCTGAATCTGACAAAACATGTGATCTAGTTTCTCCCCGGGGCGGGAGAAGACATTTGTCTTCAGGGTTTTGGGTCACCCACTTCTAGTGGTCTTCAGCTGTTCCATTTTGTTGCAACGGAAGGTGAACCACCATCAAAAGGTGACTGAAGAACCAGGATTTCATTCATTACAACACTCCTCTTCTGCGACACCTGGCTGTGGGGGGTCGCACCCGGAAGCAGACCTCGGCTAAAGCCCCCAAGGAGAAACGGATGGACGTTTTTCTCGGGCAGGTTGGGCCGCCGTTGAGCACCCAAGACACACCTCTCACCCTGTGAGACTCTTAGACCATCCGGAACGGACAAAATCTCCCTTTAGCCAGAGGCCGAAAAAGGGTGGTTGAAGAGAGAACTAGACCATCAGTTCTGGTATTAAGAGAGACGGTTCCTACCAAAAAAGAGGGGCCGAAGTAGGACGATCTCCCTTGAACCGGCGCAGTTTCTTTCCTCCAGAACCTCCGGTACCCGGGGTGAAACCGGACGGACAGGTTTCAACTCGGTGACTGTGGGGGGGGGAGGTGCCAGCTTCGAGCTCCGAGGATTGCTGGTGCAGTGATCTTCTGCAAGAGCCAGACTTCGCCTCGGCGGTGAGCAGCTGGAATTCCATGCAGGCACCGGACGAGACCCACGGGGTGAAGGCAGTGAAGTCATGAGGGTGAGACGAGTCTGGACAGGATGCAGCTTCCGGGAGGCTTTTGTTGGGGGGATTTCTTATATATGCATAGGCATGTTTTTCAGCCATAACATCACCAGGCCAGAAACCTGAGACAAACAGATATCGACATGTATATGGACGATCTCAGAGATGATCAGAGATTCGGACTGCAGAACGGTGCGTGACCTTCTGTCAGCCGGGCGCGGCGCGTGACCGGTGCGAGGCCATTTTGAAGTCGGTGGGCCGAGAGTTGGGGGATTGCTTTCTCTCGCTGCAGATCGTTGGGCACCTGAGCCGCCGGTCAGCGAGGGGAAGTGAAGCAGGTGATCCCGAAGCAGCCACCCATGGGCTTGCGCGGCCTAGGATGGTGGAACACTAGCTAAATGCAGTTCCTGCTATTTCCCGACATAGATTCGGCAGTGGGTGAGAAGTCAATCCTGGTGGAGTTGTCATTTTTGAAGCACATTGACATGCTCTTCCATTCTCCCATCTTTTGCCGTGTGGCATTCCGAGTGAATCCGCATGGGTTTCCCCACCTTCGGTTCCACCTTCGCTTCACCCTCCGGTTCGGCCCCCGGAAGGCTGGGGGAGACATATGGGGAGACATATGGGCACTCATGGGAGTCGATGGTGTCCCAAGTATGAGTCTTTGAGAGATATGTTTGTTTCTTAAGCCAATCGAAGCACAGAGAAACGAAAGGAACCCCGAACCCCAAAAAGGTGAACACGGCGAAAAACACTGGCAGAGGCGATTGGCTGAGATATTCGTGGTGTATGGATACTGCAACCTAGTCAAAAAGGGACACTTTTGATATTTCAAGTGTGATTTCCTGGAACCACGACAAAGCTTCTGAACATACATGCCTAGGAGTCGGCACGGACCTGCGCTAGAAACGGCCGACGCTCCTCGGGAGCGGTTTGATGGATTCTTGCCTGAGCGTGGTTTCAGGAGTAGATGGCACTGGCGCCATGAGCTCTTTATATGGGGTCCATGTACCAAAAACAGGGACTGTACCATCTACTCCGGGACTGGTCCATCTACCCCTTTATGAGGGTTTCTTTTTGCATGACTGGATCTGTCGATTTCTCGTGTCCCGAGTCGCCACGTGAAGCGAAGGAGCTGACCTGAGACTGTATAGGTTGGTCCTTTCACTTAGATTGATGCGTTGGCCGTGTGTGGGTGATCCGCTGCAAAGCGCGAGTTGTGCATAGAGCTGATCCAGTTGATCCAGTTGATGTTTTGGATCACGCCCTTCCCAGGTTTGATCACGGCCTTGGCGGGGGCCTTCAGCGTGCTTTTCTTCTCAGAGCAGGAGGTGGAATCACAGGCAGGGTGCAGGCTTCGGCCTCTCCAGGCCTCAGAGAACATAGGCTTAACACAGGTGGTTCCGGAGTAGATGGCACAAGCCCCCCAAGGTCGGTGGTTCCTTTATGAGGAACCACCCATTTGTCTATCCTTAGGTGCTTACGCGCCATTTCTCACCTCTGAGATGACTGGATCTCTTGGCTTTTCGGCCCTGGACCCCGGAGGGTGGAGACCCCGAAGTAAGGCAGGTGTTTCACGACGTGATAGAATAGAGTCATCGGAGAAGTGTTGAAGTGCATAGGTAAGGAGCCAGTGACCATGAAGCCTATGAAAAAGAATGAGCTCTGTAGATACGGAGAGATGTGCAGAAGTTCCCCATTTCAGTTAGGAGAGCTGTTTGTAAAACCGAAGATTTCCCATTTGGGTCCGTCCGGTGTCCGAGCATCCCAGTTTGGAATTTTCCTCCGCGCGAAGACCGAACCCTCCGACCCAGGTGTTGCAGGTCCTGCCGATGATCCCGCTGCTGGTGCTCTTCGGCCTGGCAGCGCGCTTATTGGCGGAGGGCGGCGCTCTCACCAAGAAATGACACTCGGGTTCCGAGAGCCTCTCGGGGAAAAGCGGAAAACCCCCGCACAAGTCGGATAGGTTTCTTTGCCCTGTCAGACCAGAGGGCGCGGTCTATCCCTGAATCTCTTGGCCGTCAGTTCGATGGGTAAGGGTTGCAGTTGCAACTTTTGATCTTGATGATATTTAATATATAGCAGGACCCCGTTTAAGGGGTTTCTATTGATAGCTCCTTAGAGGATAAGGGGCGTCCATTAACCACCCCTTGCGGCCCCTTGCGGGCCCTGGTAATTGATGCGCAGTTACCGGATTGTTGAACATGGACCCGGCAGGCCCAGGTTTCCAACCATTTCGCTGACGCGACCATCCAGCCGACCAAATCCAGCTGAGCATTCAGGTGAAGATGTGCCTGCCTTTGTAAATCAGCTGGGCTCCTTTGATGCTGAATCGGCGCGGGCGCGGCAATACCTGGTACAGTTCATCACTGATAGTCGTCCCGGATTCATCGTCGCAGGCCGGAAAGGTGGTTGGATGGAAGGCGGCGCGCCTTTTCCGCGCGTGCGGCAACAGGGGCATCAGCCAGGGCGGTACGTGTAGAGGGCGTACATGTAGGATGGCTGGGCCAGGAGGTGCAGGAAGATATCTCACCAATTTGTATCTTGGATATTCACCTTCCTTAGTCGTCGTAGTAGTGGCTGGCGGCGGCAGTTGTATCACGTCAATCCTATTTAAGGCTGGTAGGCCATATATGCATATGCATCCAAGCAAAACCACATCCGAGACGCGATTTGAACCCAAAGTCTTGAAGATCTTGAAGCAGGCGAGGGCTGCAGTGGACAGGGCAAGAAGCAATCACACACACACATATATATATATATATATAACGCAGTATGTAGATATAACAGAGAGACACCCGCCTTCAACGCATTTTAGAGGAGATTGGCCTCTCTGTACGCTGCTATGAACCCAAGGGTTACTCTTTTTACCGTGGATCTATCTCCCTGCGGGCAAGCGTTTCCGTGAGCCCAATCCCGGTGGATTCATCCATTCCAGCTTACTCCCCCCCGCCCCGATCCGCCATGTGGAAGTCGCCCCAAGGGACACCCGCGCGGTGCGCGTGCAGGCTCCATGCTGACGAACGGGGTCTTTTTCAAGCTGATGGCGACCCTGGCCGCGCGGCCGCACCTCCGGGGTGGAACGTTCCGTGGATTCGGATCCCATGGGGCGGTTCATGTGTCGTTCTTCTGCATGGACAGTGTTTGGGAAAGGTCAAGGCCTCTGTTTTAGATTTGACTTGGGGCCTCGTTCGGTGGTTCCAGTGTCGGCCAATCAAAAGTATCGCCTTATTCAAGTCACTTGTGCCGAACAGAGCGGTAAAGAACACTCCGGCTGAGGTCAATTCCCAAGCAGGGAGCTTCTTCACAGGGAATCCGACATGAGAAAGTGGTTATACACACACACACACATATATATATATACATATATATATAAATCAGACCGGCAAGCGCTGACATTCTGAAGCCCAGAAAGGAAGGCTTCGATTCAGCTCCACGAGGGGCCTCTCATTGAACTCATGCCATGCGATTCCTGAATCGATCAGATCCGGCAAGTGTAGGTGCGACAAAAGTGGCTTCGCAACCAAGCATGCAATCCTTTTTCCGACATCGGGTGGCGGGTGCCAATCGCCGGAATTCCATGCGGCATATCTTGGGTCAAGCAAGATCGAGAACTGACCAAGAACGGCAGGTGGGTGTCCTTGACCTTGCTCCATTCTGCTCATGTAAAGGAAGAAAGCTTCCCAGAAAAGACCTTGAGACCAACCAATGTGGTGGCCCCCACATCCTGTGATTAGGCTAGCCATTTTGGCTAACCTGTACGTTTCGGATTCGCCATCGGCCGAGGCCACGCTGCTCTCTGGTGCCATGGGTGTGATCTTGCGGAGGTACAACCTCTAACGTCGAAGGGTCCAGCGAGGCGAACCGAACCCGTCACTGAGTCTGCTCGAGTTGGTGTGGACGCACCTGAACATGCTGGGCTGCCGTGGACGGAATGCAAGGGCAAAAAGAATGTGAGGGAGTGTGCTGCATTCCTTCCTCCACTTTTGAAGCTTGCGCCGCTTAGCCCTACATGGAGAAGGGCTGGCGCTGCCAGAAGCCGGCGGTCAGATGGCCTGTACAGTTCAGCCGGCGATCCGATTTTGAACGGACGATCGCGGATGCCTTGGCACCGAGAGTGCCGACCGGTTGGTTTACGCACCCGTAAACCCATATAGACATCCCTAGAACCTGAGTGACCTCTATTTTGGACCACCAACCACCTAAAATATGGTCTTTTCCTATCAAAACAGAGGTCATGTCTGGGTTCCAGGTCCATAGACCCACGACCTTCTTCAGCAACATGACCGCTCGGCACCACGGTTGCTTTTTCGGTCGCATGCCGTGGCTGATCTGACTGGGGGGGGACTGCCAATGCCAGTCCAGACCTAGGGATCCGTCATGTCCAAATCCTCGCAGGAGGGTTCAATCCCATCTCCTCAGGAGTGAGATCGGGCCCCTAACTGGTCGAGGTGTAGCGCAGGGGGTTCCTGGGACGCGCGAGCGTTTGCTTTTTGTCCCGGAGTATCTCGATCGGTGCTAACGAGGGATACAGGTGGCCCGGGAGGCATACGCGGCATACGCCCCGCTGTGGCGAGCATGCAGCATGCCTCTATGCAGTTCCGTGTCGGTCCTCCAAAGAGGATCGCGTCAGATCGAGCCGCCTTTCTTGGTGACGAGAGGTGGGCGGTGGGAAAAAGGATCGAAAAGGGTGGGGGGGATGTAGCGAAGCTTCCCGAAACTTTGCAATGCGACTCTGGCATGGCCTTCCCGGGAAGTCCAGTTCGATGATCTTTTTGCCCGACTGAAGTGAAGGAAGTGCCTGAACTCGGGTCACCTAAAGACTTTTTACAGTTTTTGACTCCCAGGGCCTTGTTCCTTGGCCCTAACGCCACTTCAATGTTCAAAGCATCCACATGGCCCAGGTGGCATTCATCTAAGCATCCAATCTGGAGGATGCTTCAATCGCTCCTCACTCGGCTTTCGACACGGCCTGTAGCTTGGCCCGCTGACACCGTCCTACCTAGCTGGACCTATATAGCTGGTGTCCGACACCGCGGTCCTGGCCAGGCCATGCGCAAGGGTACCGACAAGGATTGGGAGCAACGGGCTGGATGCATGACCTTCCCCGATGCCGTCGCCAAGGCTGGGGGTCGGCACTTTGCGGGGGGTCCATCAGGAGAACCCGAGAAAAAGACCATCCCATATAGATACCCCAGATGTGTGGGGTCCTTCTTTTTTCTTTCCCTCTTGTACAGGTCACCCCGCAAAAAAACCTCTCAGAAGGGTTCGGACTTGGGCTTCCCATTCTGTAGATGTTTGATGTTTTCAACATGTCAAGAGCACATGTGGTGGACAGCTTGCTGAAACTCTTGGTTGCCCTGCAGTTATAAGGGGACGTTCGGTCCTAGGGGCCTTTTTTGGGGGGTCTTTCGCTCGAATCGAGGGGGTCCGGAGCTGGTGGAGTGTTCCGATGCTTTCAGATGCTTTTCACTTGGAAACAGCCTCGCCGGTGGTCGAAGGTGATCACGTGGAAAGGATTTGAGGAAGAAGGGGCGCTTCGAAAGAAGCTCCGCCCTAGACTTTAGACTCATCTCTTTCTGCGTTCGCCATCTCACCTTCTGCTGCTCCTTCTGCTTTCAGCGGCCCCAAGCGGCTGGGTTTCTGCTGGGGAGCTGGACCGCACCGACCGCACCGCGCCGGACCGGACCGTGACCAGGCCCTGAAGGCCAAGGGCAAGGACAGCGCCCAATGGATGAAGGCGCGTCATGAATTGGGGGGAGCTGCAAGGTGGTCATGCAGATATCATATTCCATTATATTCCCGAGGGAACTTCGGCACGGTGCAGATCCTCCCGTTGGGCCATTTTTCTCGCGACTGATGCCCCCAGGAGTCGCGCAAGATGTCCATCGACCAGATGAGGACCGTCATGAATCGACGGCGGAGCGCGGTGAAGCAGGGTGAACGAAGACAGCGGTTTAAGACTAAGGTTGTGAATGCTTTGGCCCAGAGAACTAGCAAGACATAGCAAGACACAAGACTAAGGTGCTTAGACTAAGATAACCACACTCATGATACCACTAAGGGTTCATTTTACTCGTCGGACTCGTCGGACAGTGGTCATGATGGTCATGGAAGTCGAAGTCCTCGATCACTCCGTCGAAGTGTGTAGCAACTGTAACTGAACTGCCGAATGGACTAGCCCCGAGGGTGGTTCGGAGTTCAAAGCTTCCAGTCGCTTGGAACATGCAACCCACGTCAGCAGTGTTGCAACGATAGCAGCTGCCATTGGCCAGTATTCTTTCCAAGGGGGGGTGTTTGAACGGATGTCATCGCACAGTCGACTGGTGTGTGTGCGTGTGTGTTTGTTTGTTTTTGCGTGCACGCCCACATGCATTTGCATTTGGCTTGCACCCCTCAAGCAAGCTAGAATTTGTTGAGCGGCCCGCTGATGGCTTCGAATGTTCTCCTGTTGTGCCAAACTAGCGCCTGCAGGGGTCTGCGAACCAATGCCGCCAGAGAAGGAGACGGATCCCGCGAGGGGTTTTGCAGAGGAGCTACTTACCCCCCAGTTCTGGCAGTGTCAGAAAGAGAAGAGGCCACTTTGCTTGCAGGGCGTGGGGCAAGGTCTGCTGGCCAAGGTGGGTACCGATGAGATTTTGGAAGCTCTTTGCAAGGGCACCCGGCCTCGACTGGGCACCACCTTTGCTCATTTGCGAGGGGAGCCGCACTTGCGCGAGAATGTCTTTCTGGCCTACTTGGACCAGGCGACGTTGAGCCTGAACAGCGCTGAACACTTCTTGCCTTGGCTGCTGAAGGCGTGCCAAGCCCTAGAAGCAGCCTTCGCCTTTGTCTCCGCCAGACTCGTGATCGATCCCGAACATCAAAAGATCCCAACGTCCGAGTCTGACCTGCTGGTGCTACAGCTGCTGGGGGAGGAGCCCTTGAGTGATTCCCTGAGCCTCCTTTTCAGCGTTTTTCTTCAGTACATGTCGAGTTCTTTGGATGTGACCGGTCGCTGTCTCGCTGTGGCGTCCGACCTCGTCGTCTCGTCGTCCAGGAGCAGCTCACGGTGATCCGTCCCTTGGAGGGCCTTCCGGTGTCGGCGCCACGGCCGAAGCCTCTGCTGGAGGTGGACCTGAAGCCCTGCGACGCGCTCTTCCTCCCCGCGGGGCTCGAGGGGCGGGTGCCTTCGGTGGCTTGGACCGGCCGGACGGTTGGAGAGAGTGTGGGAGGTGGGAAGGGCAGCTGATGGTCGTAAGGGTGGTGAGGTGAGTTGTAGGAAGAAGGTGAAGCAACAGATGCGAACAGTGGTTCACCGCTTCACCATCATCCCTGCGTTCCCTGGATGATGGATCCAGTGAGGTTTTGTGGATGCTGGATGTTCATCGATGTTGCGTGGTCCATGTTACTATAGGAGTTTGGACTTTGGAGAGGTCTGGGGTCTTCTTCAAGCATGTCCAAGCACACAGGATTTGATCCGTGATCCAGCAAAGGGCAGGTTGAAATTGACGAGCCCCATCTCTGCCACAGTTCCTGATTTCCTTTTTTTCTGCGTCGCAGAATGATGTTGTTTCCGTTGTTTCGTTACAGTACTTTTCAAGATCTTGTTCGACCGACCAGTTTCCGTTGTTGGGCCGGCCCGCGGGTCCAAGGTGTCAGCTCCTCGCCTGCCAATGGTGTACATCCTACTGACCCTACAGTCCAAGGAGCTTTCATTCAGCTTCTCCCTTTGTCGCCATATGGGAGCTTTGCTTCTGGCCGAGCGGACCACCTCCTCCGTGCCGCGGACGCTCTCCGCGGAGGCGGACGGCTTCTTCCGCAGCGCGATCACACGGCGGACAAAGTTCCTTGGGCCTGAGAGGGCCCGAGGGCCCGAGAGTGCTGCGAAGCGTTGGGAGGGCCATTCCCGGACATGTTCCCCCCCATTTTCTCCAGCACCGAAACCAACAGGTCTCCGAAATGGAGGGTTCTTCCAAAACCTAAGAGGTTTCAATTGGTGATTTGTTGGAGGTGCTGGCATATTGTTCTTCCCTCGCTCTTTTGCTCACATCATTTCTCATCCCCTTTCGCTAGACGTCGCTCCCGACCGCACGCCTTTTTCCATGCCGCTGGGGGGTGGAAGGGGCGGAATTGATCGTTTGGGTTTTTCTGGGGTCGTGGTCGGGCAAAACGTCCAAGATGTTCATTGGGTCACTCACTGATGGGCACCGCTGGTGGCGGTGGACACGAGAAGATCTCAACCATAGAAGTCCAGAATCTGAAGAAAAGGACTCGCTCCACTCTAGTCGTAGAATGTTAGTACCAATGCTTACCAAAGTCCTTCTCTCGGCCCTGGTCCTTCTCTCGGCCCTCGAGGCTAGATCTGGAGTCTGGAAAGCAAGACCTCGACGAAGCCATGCGGCGGCATGCCATGGACGCCGGGCAGCGAACACGGAGATCGACCGTGCGGCGGGGGGGTGGCGGAGTGGCGGGTCGGTGGGAACGGCCGAGCTCGGAAGGGTGCGACGTGGTGCGACGTCTTGAGCGGTTTCGGTTTTGCGGCGGCGGTTGCGGCGGCTTCGTGGTCGAATTCACGAAAACATGTCGAGACGGAGAAGACCCTATACGGTGGAACCTGAAAACGGACCCGTCGACTGGAAGACGATGTTCCACTACCAACCCCGGGGGGCGTGGTGAACAGAGGGGTCCATGTGGGGTACTCGGAACCCGGGCGTTTGGCTCCGAGCTTGGACCCCAAGGGTTCCGCCGGTCCCTACTTTCACCTTCACCTTCACAGCGACGGCCGAACGACGGGGGGGACAAAGAGAACGAGCTGGCTGTCCGGTGGGGCGGTAGGGGTCCCCAAGTGGTTGTGAAGCCGGTCCCCAACGAGTGGCAGATGGTTGGCCTCACTTGTTGAGTTTTTTTTCTTCCGTTTTTTTCCTCCCATGTAGCTGCTGGACAGACACAACTGTCAGAATCTTTCGCAACATCAGGCAGTGAACTCACATATTGTCCCCCCCCCCTTTACTACACGCGCGCGCGCGCGTGCGCGGAGATGTGAACCTCTAAGGAGCTGGTGTCCAAAGTGACAGCTGCAGATCTTCGGAAAGATTTCGATTTCAGAGTACAGGAACTGCGTCAAGAGCAGCTGGAGGGTGCGAAGGAGGTGCAATCCATGAGCTTTTCAGAGGCTAAGCTGGTGAACAAGAGATTTTCTGGGTTTTGGTGTGTGTTTGTGCGTCACTTTGTCCACACCCCACCACAAAATGTCAGCTGTCGGCCCACACCAATGGGATTTGATGATCATGTTGGGGGGGCCAGATTTTGGACCAGCATCGTCATCAACGGGCCCAGTGAAATCCAGCGTGATCTACCCACAAGATCCCACAATCACGGCCCCGTGTGCATGAGACACCATGGCTGTCGAGTGCGTGCGTGAACTTGTCCCAGGATGGGTTCCTTTCACCTCCTTTCGCCTGTAATCTCTCCAAAAACCCCAAGCCCTGTCATCGCATTCTTCTCCACCTGAGAACTAGCAGCTAGCACTGAAACTGAGTCCTAGCAGACCAATTTCTATGTTTTTTTGATCAATGCCAACCGACTTCAGGACCCACTGGTCTTGTCCAGGAGCTTGCTTCGCTTGGCTCGTGGCGTCGCAGTGCGCTGTACCCCTGGAGCTACCAGTGCCCATTTCACCCGCGGCACCGACACCATGACCCTGAACATCGCGTCCACCGCGTCCGCCCTGCTGGCGGCGCTGAGCGATCAGCAGATCCACCGTGTCGATGGGTTGCCCTGCGCCGATCCCATCGAACGCTTGTGCGTCTGCAACGTCTTGTTGCGGAAGGGCTGCTTAGAGCTCGCCGGCGTCGAAGCCGCGGGGTGACCGCCGGCGGCGAGCCGGTTGGGGGCCGCGTGACGCGGCGGCCGAGAAAAAGGGAACGCGGCGGGAACGCGAGGGTGGGGCAATCTGAGAAAGACGTGGATTTTAGAGAGGCAATTGGTAGGATTGTCCGAAACATATCCCCAAGTTGGCGCTTTTTTCAATGTTGAGCTGACACGGCGTCCACGTGACTTGTTTTCTAAGTTGTGCCTGTCCCGGGGGTGAGATAGAAGAACCAGAATGAACCAGAGCTTAAAGTCTTAAAGGATCTTAAAGACAACGCTTTGAGGAAGTCAGTTGTGGCACCTTGACTCGTAGATACTCAAAGACCCCGGACTACTCAGGCTTAGCTTTGGAACTCTTGGTGTTTTTTATCAGCGACTTGAGAATTCTGCCATATTCTACTGTCACCACGGCCGTGCACATCATGGAATGCTCAGTGTTAGTTGCAGACGCTGGAACATCGTCACCAGCTTTACTCCTGGCAGTTGGTGATGGTCGATGAATGGCAGACCGACGTGTTGCTTTGGGTGACACATTCCTTTCGACAGTCATACTTGTAGCAGCCGCCATCCCATGAACAACTCCTGATTTGCGGAGGAGGATCGTACTTCCGCACGAAATGTTCCATCTTCAAGACATACAGGTCCATATACTGTAATAGGTTTTAATATGTTTTAATACTGTAGGTGTAGGTGTTATATATTGTTTTAGTTTCCGGGAACCATTTCTTTCAACTACCTTAGCCCATCTGAAATCCTTTATGAATCAGTCCCGCCTTCACCGCATCCACGGAATCGACCTTCTGGACATGTGGCGGAATGCCTTCAGCCCAGCACCGCATCAGATCCTTCGGCCACCGGTGCGACGTCGAGGGAGCGGTGCGACGTCGACCCGCGGCCAGGAAGGCGGCCGGCGACATGGGCCTGGAGGTCTTCTTCGACTGGGACGCGGCCCGCTCTGCCTGGGCGCCCACCTTTTGTGGGGCGTAGGACGTGGAAGATGGGTGGTGCGTCGTGATTTGCACATGCCTGGTCGTTGGATCTTGGCCATTTTTGTTGCGCGGGTGGTGTGCTGTACTTAGCTCAGCTAGCTGGATTTTCTTGGTGACTTGGCTTCTGTACCACGGCTCGGCTGAGGTCGAGGGCTACTACCGCATTAAGGGCTCCACCGAGTTTTGCATCGAGCGTGCCATCGCCTTCGCGCCCTACGCGGTCCGCCCCATGTGCTGGCTTTTTGGGAGGTGGTGGGAGGCTGAAGTAGGAGAAGTACACTCCCTGGAACTAACACGGAAGTGGAAAACCCTCCTGTCTGAAGAGGAAAAAGGTCTTCCTTACGGGGCCGTGCCATCTACGTAACCATGTTAGTTCCCGGGAGTGTACGTTTGGTGACGAGCATGTGAGATGTGCCCCAGAAGAAGGGACTAGGTCTTTTACCTCGGCCTTCCTGGAGAGAGAGAAGAGATGAGCGAGACACATATTTCTCGAGCGAAGTCCACATGTTTCTCTCCGAGCCAGGACCCCCTGTTTGGGGTTTCTATTGATAACTCCTTAGAGGTTATAGTTATATAAGTTATATATATAGTATGTAATATATATATACATATGGGGTGTCAAGGAACCACCCCGACCGTGGGTCCTGGAGGATGAGGGATTCCATAAAAACCTCGTCAACCATGAACCACACCCTCGCTAGCTCCTTCAGCACCATGCCATTCAGCACCTTCGACTCCGGGAGGATTGCATTTGGATGGAGACCGGGAAGCCCATCTTGGCACAGGCCACCCAGTTTGCTCAGGACAGGGATGGGTAGACGGCGGACTCTACGGCGCATGGAGTGCGACCCCAGACTGGCATTGGGGTAATAGAGAGACCTTCAACTGAGAGCATTCCTGGAACTTCCTCAGAGTGCCTTTTGGCGGGGATCTGGCAGCCTGGCGGCGTCATTAACATTTTTTGGAGTCACAGCCGTATATTTGAGTCTGCAGATGTTTTAGATATTTTTTCCTGATATTCCACGCATGCTTAACAACCTACGGGCGTTTGTTGGTCTGTTGGTGAGCCACGGGCGTTTTTCCCGAAGGTGTTTCTTCAGCGCATGTTTATTTTTGGTTTGCGGATGGAAGCTTATGTGGTTCACAGACCTAGAAACCAAGTGCCACATACACAGCACCAAGTGCCAAATCCATCCAGCTTCCTTCCTCCCTCCAGACTCGGAGCTCGTCGAGCTGGGCCCGCACTTCGGCCAGGAGGTGCGAGCAGCAGTGCCTCATCAGATGTTGGCCTACAACCTGAGCCCATCCTTCAACTGGGACAGCTGGGGCCTCGATCCTGAGTGGGGTTTGGAGTTTTGGTTCTTCTCCCCAGTCTGTCGCGTCCGTCGCGAAGCCGGCCCCAGCATGGACCTGGTGACCTGCTTTGGTCGGTCACTAGGTCCATATCCTTTCATGAGCTCTCTTCTTAAAGGAATCAGTCTCAGCTGTCATTGAGGTGGATGACAGGATAAACCTTGGACAGAACAATCTTATTGTTATTATTGTTATTATTGTTATTACTATACCATACCATACCATACCATATGCTTACAGGTATGAACTTATGATTGAAGGTTAGTGAGTGACACCCGCCGAGATCTTTTCTATTTTCTGGGGCCTCCCTTCACTGATTCGCATTCATGGATGCGCAATTCTTACCCTCCGCGCGTGCGCAAACGGTTTGATCCTCAGGTGCTGGTATGACGGATGCCCAGATGGAATCCTTCATTTGGGACTTGGCCAAGCTGGGCTTCTGCTGGCAGTTCATCACCTTGGCAGGATTCCACTGTGATGCCCTCAGCATCGACCTCTTCGCCAAGGACACGGAGTTTTGGGCCCCACACATGAAAGGTTTGGATGTGAGAAGGTCGTGATACATAGGTGGTGTAGATGTTTGTTGTTCATACTGAAGTGGTGGATAGCGCAAGCGTGGTGATTCTGATATGTCAAACTTGTTTTCGAGGACCTGTTGTATCTTTTGGCTTTTTGCCATGCGAGATCATTCCTGTAGGATAACCCTGATCATCACTGCCATAACATTCTTCGAGGGTTCCATGTTATTCTGCGGAGGGCTATGCATTTTCCTGCCCCTAGGCTTCCAACCACCATTAATTTAGTAGGCTTTACCGAATCAACTAAGGATTTTACACTACAAACACCAGGTCAACCATTTTTTTATGGTCTTGGAAGGCTAGGGATATTGTTTTCCAGCACCCGCTCGTGTAGATCGTTCTGAAGTGACCCAGCTCGGAGAAAGAAATCCTTCGCACGTGGTGCCGTGGTGCCAGGAGTATGCCAAGCGTGGTGCCTATGCCTATGTTTCCATGATCCAGAGGGAAGAGCGAAAGAACAAGGTGCGGAGGATTGAGGAGAATGAAGGGAAGGCTTCCATGACAAGGGTCCTCTTGCGCCAGTGATTAGGGGCTGCTCCGACCATTTCTTCTCCTTCAGGTGGCTTTTCACTGACATAACCTACTAACCAAATGAGCCCGCCCAGTCGAAGGGCGTTTTTTCTCCCGAAGACTTGCAGCAGGGTGGGCTCAATCTTGTTTGTTCCCATTAACGCCCGCAGAGTCAAACCCCTTTGATTACTTGGCAGCTTGATAGGTCAGCGGGGCAGTGGTGGGAGAGCACAACTAGACTCCAGGGAGAGAGAGAGAGAGGATCGGATGCATGTTTCTATTTTCCAGGAACTGGATTGGCCCCATAAGGGTGCCCCTGTCAGACCCACTCACTGGATAGAACATTTCAAGCCACCCAACTCCATGTGCCCCCGGTTACATGTAGTTTTTCTTGTTTTTTTAAACATCCTTTCCCGGTTCCTTGTTCTTTGCCAATTCCGTGGGCTTCGGATCTACTTCGGTGCCCGGTTTTTCGTGCCGGTCTCACGTGTACGGAGAGTGCCGCACACTCTGCCTCGTGCCGGCCACGGCCAGGTGGAGACACTGACTCATCAGAAATGGCTTCTTGAATTCACAAGTTGGAACGGTTGGAAGGCCTCGGCCTCGGGGCCCCTGGGGGCCGCTCTCGGTGGTGGGTCCCCGAAGTCTTCGACGGAAGAAGAGCAAGACAGCCTTGTTTGGAAGCCTCTTCCCTCATGGAAATCGCTGCATGCATGCATCTATAGAAGCAGGGCGAGAGGTACCGAGGAACCTCGCAAGAGTTGCAGAGCAGCGGGATTCTTCGGGTTCTCAGGCACAAGAAAAACAATCAACAGTTTGAGAAGCTGAAAGCCCTACTTTGAGCCTTTTCAGGGAGGGAGGGAGGCATCTAAATCTTTGCCTGAAACTGCCCTCCTCACCCTACCCTGTCCATCCCCAACCCTGCACCCGCTCCATACCGCCCTGTCCGTGTCCTTCGTGCGGGTTTGATTCGATCCGCCGTCCCGGTCGACCGGGCCAAGGAGTGGCTCTGAGATCGTGGACGAGATGGGCAACGTGGTCAGCGGGGGCCTGTCCTCCACAGGCGCCGCGCGCGTCGCGCGGGTCACGCGGACGACGTCGGTGCGGTCACGCACCATCGTGTGTGAGGGAGGCTCTCATACATCATCCACTGGTAGAATGGGGATAGGGCTGCCATTAGGGTCCAAGGCAGACCTGTCATTCAGAACAGTGATGTGTCGTTCCTTCATTGCATTCGGGTTGAAGGGAGAAATTGGTAGATGCCTATAAGACCTAAGATCTGGTATAGATTCTTTGCAGTCATGCCAGATCTTAGGCATCATTGCCCTATCAGATCTTAGGAGCAGATCTGGTCCTTCTCACCCTTGACTTCTCGATCTTCGACGTCCGCAGGCATTATGTCTGCGGGTGTGACTGAGAAGCAGTTCTGAGGCTGGTTGACGCGGTGTACTGGGATTGGCATAAGCAGTGAAGGGTTGCAGAAAGAGAGGTAGGGAGAAAGAAGAGAAGTCAGTGATAAGTCTGATATGGATTGATATGGTTCTTTTCAATTGAAATCGGGAGAGACCACCAACGGAGCTTCTGTAAGAAGGACCAAACGGCCCGCGGTTCTCATGGGTTTCAGGCAGGTTCCGGTCTCCCCCTCTTTAAACACCAGTACCAACCCCAGGGTCCCCACAAGATCTCGTCCGAAAAACGGCCCGCCGTAAGCGGTTCGGGGGAGCTTCGCGTTCGGTCTTTGGCCTTTGATTTCTTGGCATTCCTGGAGAACTCGGTCGAAGGAACCTCCACGTCTCATGCCCCACACATGGCATTTGGGCCAATCAGTTCCTGTGACAAGAAGCGGGTGCCGCAGCTGAGCCAACCCCGACATGTACATATTTGTGAGGTGCGCCCGTGGGAGCACGGCCCATGGGTGCCAATGTCAATAGAATCCGTTCAGGATCTTAGGAAGGTTCGCGGCTGAGTTTGGGTCGAAGGGTTCAAGAAAACCTCATTGCCAGCCTGTGGCAGATCTAGAAAGATCAACTATATAGTGGGACCGAGTGCTCCACATCAGCAGTGGGTGTAGTGTAGAGATCACAGCAAGCGGCTATCAGTCCACAGTCCTACAGGGTAGCTACAGCAGGTTGATCAGGTTCACTTGAAGGACCTAGACGTAGTGGGGGTTGGCTTGAAAAGAACCCTTGAACGCGTTTATATGAGGCTGTCTCTCACTTCAAGATTGATGATGGGATCCGGCTGATTGGTTCTATCCAAGCCCTCACCTCAGGCTGATTGGGCATGAGTCGAGTCATGTCTTGGAATCTTCAGCCGTGAACCTCAAGAAAGATTTTTTCCCAGTATCCCACCTATCCACAGGTGGCGTGGAGAGGGCGTCCAGATTGGCGCCCGAGCCAATTAGATTGGCGCGAAGAAGCCAGAGTGGATTAGAAGACGTATGGGCAAGACGCACACATAGGGATACGATTCTCGTATGTTCTGGCCATTGACATAGACATGGAGAAGAGTTGCCCTTCTGCAAAGGAAATCAAAGGAACAGAGTCTTGAGAGGATCCATGATCCATGTTCTATTAAGGGACTTCATTTCAATCTGCATTGGAATGGCTTTTGTGGTGATTGCAAGTTGCAGGGTCTTGCAGGCTTTCGGGGGAGCTTTTGATTTCCTTAATCCGAGCCGCAGCATGAAGGATCACACTGAATCAATCCTGTTGTTTTTCTCGCCAGTCGGCGGACCGTCCGCACGGCCTGATGTTAGATCATGTGTCCACCAAAAAGCACCCTGTATGCTCCTCAACCATCCAGTGATGCATTGACCTCCACCCCAACCTACGGATGCGGACCTTTTGCGCTTCTTGCCGCCGATCGGGTTGGAAATTCTTCACCTCCTAGAGGGGAGCAGCTGATCAGGTGCAGATAACTGTCTGGGCGGTGTGGGCCGCCAGTAGAAAGTACCACGATTGTAGGGCTTGCCAGCAACCATAGATGCTTTTCTATTCCATGGTCCATGGTGCGTTCGAATTACCCGACTCCGTCTTCGATGATTCTGGATGTTTTGGATTGAAAAAGACTTCTCAAAAGTATTCAAAAGTGAGTATCCCAAAACTTGCAAGTAGATGGCGCCTGATCCTCATCCCAGCGAGATGGTGAGGCAAGTGTGTCCTTGAAGATGAGCTCTCTCTCTCTCTCTCTATCCCTCTCTATCCCTCTCTCTCTCTCTCTGTAGTTGCAACTGACTGGCAGATCTGCACATTCTGACCGGCTGCGACCCAGTCTTAGAGGCCAATTTGACCACCAGAAGTTGTGGTCAGACCGTCGAGGACAGATGGACGCGGTCAAAAAGCGTCGCCTCAGCCTGCGGGCTCGCGCTCAGGCGTTTAGCAGAGATGTCAACTCGTGATGAATCAAGACCATAAGTTGGATGTTTCACAGAATCCGCCGGGGGGAGGAATCCACGGATCTGGTGGTAAAGATACGTATATAAAACATTACTCTCTCCCTCTATGAAGTACAGCCGCCTCCAAATCCGAACCACCACCACTACCACACGCCACACGCCACGCCACACGCCGCTGTGCTGCGCGTAGACCGTGCCGCGCAGGGGATTGCTCCGCAGGGCGCAGCAAAAAAGTCGCGGCACCCCGTCGAACGGCTCGGCCCTTCAGGGCTCCAACTGCCGTAGAGTCTCTCGTTGGGCCGCGCCCGGGTCGAGTTTAACGCCATGGCGGTGACGATGGCGCCTGGGTGGGAGGTGTGTGATGGTGTATTTGTATCGACATTTATATTGGCAAGGCACCACCTTTCGGGGTCTCCATGCTTCAGAAATCTTATGTTTGCGTGTGACATCGTGTGACCATGTCTTGAGTGTAAGACAGGCTTGACAGGCTTTTGGTACGAAGAATGACTGCTGGACTACGAGATGGTTTTTGGAAGTCCTTGGACCACTCAGACGTAGGCTGCTGGTGGTGTTTAAATGTATGGAACCACCAAAAGCCGGTCTACTGATGCACTTTCTCCCCTTCAGCCAAGCTTGACAGCTCCAAACATGGAGATCATGCCAGGGAGGGACAACGTTCATGTACTTTCCACATATCTCACAATGGATCCCTAGCAGGCCATTCTAGTTCTTGGGAGAAGCATCCACGTTTCTCATTTTATCGCATGGTCCATGTGCCGCGGTGCTTTTCATTAAAAGATCAGGGGGGTGAAGCAGAGACCTGAAGCCATCGAAGAGCCTTCTTGAGCCATCATGGCCTCCTTCCTGGGGGTACCTGCGGCAACATGGGCCAAGTGGGTCGGTGGTCAAAGCCCGGGCTTGTATGGAAGGTGCCCAGACACTCCAGGTATGCCATATATGCCTACATTGACCCCCAAAACCACCCCAATGTAGGCATATATATATATATATGGCATACATGGAGTGTCTGGGGTGGTTCAATCTGGTGTCCGATGTGAGCCAATGGATCTGTGAAGCGGAAAAATGGAGCAAAGGATTGATGAGCCTCCTTCTGCCCCGCGGTAATGCTCCCTTCTGCCTAGAGCGAAGGTTCCAAATTGGTTTTAGATGTTGGATTTAACCATGGAGCGCAGCCAAACAGTAAACCGCTTATTCTCGCGAGTGTTGTCACAAATGTTGTACTCCATGGACCTTGTCAGAGATCCTCTACCCAGTCTACTAAGTCTTCTTTCGCTGGCAGCGTTCTTTTCCAGGTGGACGACGACGCTCCATCATCCCAGAAAAAACCGACGCTGGCGTCCGTCTCAGGAGATGCTGGCGGATGAAAAAGGCATCGCGGTGATCTCCTTCGGCAAAGAGCCGGTGAACAGCGGGGGCGGCACAGGAGATGGGCGGCAGCGGAGGTCGATGAAACGTCCGGAGTTTGTGTTTGAGCAGGTGATCAACTCCTGGGAAGATCCCAGAGGGGCTAGAATTGTTTGGACAATCATCCACCTTCCCAATTGACCCGTGACGGATGAAGAACTCTGACGTTCTCAACGTCTTGATTCTATACTGAGATGCCTCGAGCTTCAATGTCAATTGGTGTTCAGACGCTCCTACTGCTGGGCAACACCCGCTGGATGCCACCGCAAAATGAGCAACCTTTGTGTTCAACAAGCATGCAAACGGCTGACATGTTGAAAGAGCGTAGCCAGTGGGAAGGCTTGTAGTGGCTTAGATATTGACGTTTGGGAACTGCCAAGTTCGGAAGAGCCCAGTGGCTTTCCACCCCACCCAACTGCAGCGAACCTTTGACCTCCGATGGCCTTCTTTTGTCTTCAAGCTCAAGGACACCCGCGGAACTCGAGCTCGCTTCCTCCATGCTTTTCGTTCTTTTTTCTCGATGCTTCTGTCCATGTCTTCCACTATCCGGCTTGATCTCTTATGCCCATTGCCCCCCCGCGGCCGAAGAAGACGTCCATCCGTCCATCTTCTCGGCACCGACCTCGTCGCTTCGGCGTGTCAGCGGCGCCCTGGCTGCGGCCGTTGGCTTGGCGTGTTCGGAACCCGTTCGAACGCCGAGGTATGGACCTGGAGTTTTGGCGTTTGCTCAAGAGCACCTTCCAGGCCGACGCTGGTGCGCTGCTGGTGGTGGTGGTGGTTTTGGCAGGTCGGGTCCGACTGCAGGCAAGCAGGGCAGCCACCATCCGGTCCCAAACTCAACACATGAATCAATGAGTCGGTCCGGATGCCTCAAAAGGGTTCAAATCAGAGCCTCAGAGCTCCTCGCCAAGAAGTTGGCCTTCAGTGGATCGAACTGGATCGAGCCATCGGATTCCCACTCGAGGCAGCAGAGGCGGACAAGAACATCAGAGGCGTGATCTTCCAGTCCACACTGAAGAAGCACCTTCGGCCGACTGTTGCAGCAGTTCTTTCTTTGCTATTTATTGTATTGTTGCTTATTGTCACTAACCCTGGAAGTGCAAGATAAGTTTAAAATTGGTTGATCTGGTTTTGTTACGTAAAACCCTTAGTAAAACAATGGTTGCTCGGTAAAGACCGTTATATCAACACAATGGTGGCTTTCGCCTGCAAAACACTGGCGTTTATTGGCCGTGTAACATAGTGTACCCGAGGCATCTTTCGGGGGAGGGCGTGGATTAGTATATGTTCAAGACACCCGAAGCCAGCCGGGCTAAGTTTGGCGGATGGTGGGGTTCGTGTCAGTCTGTGATGTGCTTGCAGCTTACAAAAGCGCGGGATCACTGGGGGGTTTTCAATTCAGCAACCGAACGTCTTCACCTTTGACGAGGAACGTCTTCACCGCTGGGCTCGACATCAAGGAGCTGCATGCACCATCCACCAGTGAGGAGAGCGCCCGCATGCGCTCGGTTGGGAGGTTGGGAGGTTGGCACTGCCTTTGGGGGGATGTTCTCTCACGGCCGACTGGGGGGGAGTCGTATCAAAACAAGGCCTTCCACGGTCAGAAACTCAGCACCTACCGGGACCTACCGGGTGGAAGGAAGAGAAGGGGCACCATTTTCACTCTTTTTCATCCAGTCTGGACGATTTTGGGGGAGCTCAGCACCTGGAGCAGAGCGCTTAGAGTTTAGTCATTTGGAGCTGCCCAAGAATGCCTTCCTCCCGCCCTCCCCAGGAGCGTTTGAAAACCTTCTGGCGAACCTTGACCGAGGCACCTTGAAAGGGGGGTGCGTGGGCTTTGGCCTTCCTTGGACCTTTCTTCTTTGGACGACTGGGTGGGACGACCGCGGGGGAAGGTTCTCCCCTTTTGTTTGGGATTTTTCGGAGGGTTCGCAGGTCAAGGGCGTTTCTGTTGGGCTTTCCACGAACTCGAACTCAAAGAGCTGAAGCCATCGCTGTTGCTGGTCACCGGGTCTGGGTCCAGTTGGGAGGTAGGGAGATGCACCAAGTTCATTGCTGGATGGGACTCAAAACCATTTTGAATCTTCCCCCATTACCACCCACCCGGAATCGGAATCTTCTTGGACGGAGGTCTTGAGCAGCATCTATGGCAGCCGCCTAGCCACCGTGGCGGCCATCAATGGCGCCTGTCCTGCCGGCGGCTGTATGTTGGCGATGTGCTGTGCGGCCCGACGTGGGTTGGAAGGGGTTGGAGTGGAGTGGAGCCAGTTTGTGGGGGGAGGTTATGGGAAAGAACCAGGCCATTATTATGTTAAAAAACATGGTAAACACATGCTTTGATCGTTCTTTGGTCCTGGGTGGTCACTTGGGTGAGGCGTCGGCGAACTCCCACAAGCGGCTAGCCCAAGCCCATCCGAACCCGACCTGTGCCGTCGAGGATTGGCGGATCATCACCTACGACGGCTCCATGGGCCTCAACGAGGTGACCGGCAGACCCGACGCCGTCCGGTGCCACGCCGGAGCGTGTCGGACTCAACGGGGGACGAACCGTTGAGCTTCTTACGAAATGGGTGACCCAGCCCAAGCGCTCCATGGGCCATCCCCACTATACCACTACATCTGCCTATGTCAGATGTCTTTTCAGAGATTTTGTTCCTTCAAGTGATTCAAAGTGGGCTGCAGAAGGGAACACGGCAGCCTTCTCAAGTGCTCTTCGCAAACTCGAGATGTTCAAGTAAAGAATCTATTGAACTTTCCGATGGGATCGGGTTGTCAAATCGAAAAACACCTCCAGAGGTTTGTTGCTCATGTGCCCTGTGCCGATGCCCTTGGGCCAGGTGGCCTTGGGCATTCCAGTGCCGCGAGTCTGGTGCGAGCCGCCCGGCCCGGCCAGACCGGTCCGGAGGGGAGCTGACCCGAAGACCGGTCGGCGGGCAACTGGGACCCCACCCCTGGAGGGATGCTCCTAGTAGTAAGGCCAGGAGCCCCGTTCGTAGCGTCCTGGATGAGCTGGGGTGTGGACCGTCAAAACCCACCACGTTCGCCGGTTCGCCGTGTTTTTAGGCCATGTTCCTCGCCTAGAGCCAGCAGCGACGAAGGTGTGGCAATGGATGGACTGTCGATCTCGACATGGCCTTTTCTGGATGAACTCACCGTAACTACGCATGGAGGCAACAAAAGTCACGTTTTGGAGAAGCAAGGACGTCTGGGCCCATTCCGGCAGATGATTGTTGTCCCGGTTAGCACCGCCTTCAGTGCTAGCAGTGGAACCAGGGAACCAGGGAGTCCAGGTAGTGGGTTGCAGTCAGCTAGGACGAGGTGGGTCACAAGAACGGACCTCTTTCAAGGTTGAAGAGCTGTGTTTTCCATTGTTGTCCTGGGGTTGGAAGAGGTGTGAAGCCCAAGGCCCAAAACTATCATGTTGTTGCATGGGTAAGCGAACAAGGAACACATTGGGCTGAATGGGAATACAGTTGTTGCATTCGCGCCTGCCAAAACCAACATAGCAACTCTCAGACAGATGTTGAATTCCATTTCCCTTTGCTTTGTCAACTTGAGGGGGCCGACTGATCATGTTTTGGTACCAAGCGTCAGCAACATCGCCGCCGAGGCTTATGGCAAAGCTCATTGGGCTGCACCCTGCAGAGGATGCTGAACGAAACTGACGAAACCTTGGTACCGTGATCATCCAATCATTGGCCAACCCGGACCCACGACATACTTGGCTTCCATTGGGCACCCACTCGATGGTGCTGGGCACCCACGTTTTTTCAAGTGGGAAGGGCTGCTGAATCATGATATTTTATGAAGGCATCTCATCTCCCTAGGATTCCCTCTAGAAAAGTCCTTCTGGAGGCAAGTGCAGCCTCACCTACATGGCACTGAATGAACAGGGACCGGGTAGTGTATTCAAACAGGCTAAGTTACGCGGAGGCCACCATGCCATATTCCAGGATTGGTTTGTTGTTTGCAAAAACTTTAGGAGGACCGAAGGTGGATCGGGTGAAGGGGCCGGCCTGTGGCGTTGGGCCGGCCTCTCGCCCAGCCCAACCGTTGCCCAATATTTGTGTCTGTTTTGGTTAGGGGGAGGACTTGTCATTTTTGAAAACAGATAAGATTCAATTCAGGTTTAAGTTTAAGGCATCGATTGGAAGAGGAGCCGTGGTCCGTACTACTGGCACTCTTCGTCCTCTTCACGCCACTGGTGTCACCGGCGTGGTGTTCACCACGCGGCCTCGCGGCTCCAGGAGGTGCTCCTCTCGGCGAGCATGCCCAAGGGCACGGACCTCCGCGTCCTGGGCCTGGTGGACGACTTGGTCGAAAAGCCCACGGAGCGGCGCCGGAATAAGGGGGGGGGCGGCGACGCGACCGAGGTGGCGACCGAGGTGGGGGAAGCATGTGGCCCAGGTTGCTTCAACGTGTGAGTCGGGCCGCGGCTTTCAACTTGGGATCCGAAGATCTGGAAATTACGCACTTCATCACTTCATCGTCATGTGTGGCGCGCAAGGATTCGTTTAGCTCGAGCCGTGCCAAAACGCCGTGCCAAGAAGGAGCTTTTGCCGAGCGCAGTGGCGAGAATGAAGACCTGGCTAAAGTTCCCTCCCAAGGCGTTGACTGGGTGACGGGGGAGATGTGGGTCAAGGGAGGCTTCTATGATTCTATGGGTGTATGACGGTCTGTTGGGGAGGATGGGTTGAAGCGCTTTTCACTGCCAAGCAGCACGGTCAGAGTGCTGAGATGAGGCAAGCAGAAGCTCCTTTTGGCCCCCAAATGGTTTCCAAGACATCCTCCTGAAAGCTATTTTGTATGATTTTTGTCTATATAGTATACATATGGGCCAAGACCTTGGATGTGAGAGCCGAATTCGCGACCAGCACGGCCGAACTCGCAGCTTGCCTCTGTCTCGGCCTGTCCAGGGCTTCCAAGAGACGAAGTTAATGCTGAGAGGCACGGCGCCCCATCGTTGTTCCATCGGTGTTTGACTCTGTGTGGGTCGTTTGGGGTGAGTTCATGGAAGCGCACTTTGTCTGAGAGCTTCCAGAAAGACCCATTTACATCTCTTTAGCATATTTGACCCCACCCTGCTAATTGCCTAAGAGGCCTGTTTCAGCGAAAGTGGCCCGGCACACACTTTCGCTGGTCGTGGAAGAACAGACTTATGTGTTATGTGAAGAGATCGTTTTTGTAGTGGTGCGTGCGTGGCGCTGGAGTCACTTGAGTCATGACAGATGAAGCGGATCTTGGGATCACCCCGCGACACTATAAAGACCCATGCCATGTCTCACAGGGGTTGGATGCTTGCAAAGGCTTCTGAAGGTGGCAGTTCCGAGGCCTTCCAGGAGGTCAGTGGAGAAAACACCCTTCGAACGATGGGCACTTCAAAGCCGTAAGCTGCTCAGAAGCTGCAATCTTATTCTTCACTGACGGGGGTGGATGCTGCAAATGTCGAGGCTTCATTCCTTGATGAATCCCAATCTAATGAGATCATTCAGATGTGGTTGAACCGTGGTTGGTTCATGTTGCTTCATCCTGTTTGGCCAGACACGCCCCCACTTCGAGGTGGCTCCTCCGAACTCTGGGATGGCACAGGCTCCACGGACTCCGAACGGCTCCGGGCTCGGCACAGGTGACTTCGCACAGCGATGGGCCAAGGGCGTGGAAGCAGAGTCAGAGGAGGTGGGACCCAGAGCTGGGGGATCCGTGATTGGGCAAGACGCGGTGGAGGACCTAAGTTATGAGGTGGGCTTTTTGAGTCGGACCCCTTCCCAGATGGTGAACCAGATGGTTCCATCCGTGTCGGGCGAACAAACACCCCTCAAGTCCTTGCCGTTAGACATCACCCTTAAGTGTTGTAGAAAAAAACGGCTTGGCAAGCATGGTTTGGCCGACCCTCTTGTGTAGGATCCATGGCAACTCTGGGTATGTCACGCACTCGACAACCCCGAAGTGACCGGCAGGTGCAAGGGAGTTGCTGAGAACTGGAGGGCATGGTTGGTAAGTAACGAGCTTGGGCTAATGACATCAAGTCTTTATTAACAACCCCCTCGAGGTGCATAGGCATGTCGTATTATGTTATCATATTTGCTTTTTGGTGAGGATGTGGAAAAGGAGTCCGTCGGCCTGGTTTGTGGATTCCATGAAGCAGTTGTATATGGTTGGGTGCACTCTTCGAAACCAAAATGACCTCTAACTGGGTTCATTTCAATGGTGTGGAGCACCAACGCACCAACGGCCTTCAGGTGTGGAATGCTGTGAGCGATCCCCGCAGCGTGGCCTCCTTGGATATGGTCTGGGGCCCCAGCGATGAGCTCGGCGGTCTTTCTGGGACCCCACCGCGCCCCGGGCCGCCGTCCGCGGGAGCTGAGTTTGGCCCTGCAGGAGCTCTGAATGGTCCAGCACCGGTCCAACTCCAAGATACTCCAAGTAGAGGATCCTTTTGTGACTGAATTGCATCTTGCAGGGTGGTTTCGGACATGTTGCGCACTGTAGCCAGACGCCACTGGATCCTCGCAATTCACATCTTGCAAGTCAGTTGGTGTCCTACGATCCAGCGCACGGGTGGATGACACTGCCCTCACCGACATAGGGATCGCACATCCACCCAGTGGCACCGGCCCTTCGCTGGGCTCCGTGGCGCCACCGAGGTCCTGAAACGGTTGCATGGCGCGCCGAAGGCTAAGATGTGAAGGGGCCCCGTGTGGCTGAGCTTCGCCGAGCTTCCACGCCCTTTTACGGAGCTTCCGGGTGGTGGTTTCAGATATATATGTTTGTTTTCGACCTTTACCTGGGATGATTGAACTCACGTGCCACTGACTATTAATTCAAGTAAGTTGAATCCACCATATTCCACCAACCAGCTATCCTTTGAGCAAGTTAAGGCACGTAAGGCATGAAGAACATAGAAATAGACAGCCGACAGCCCCACTGTCCCCTGGCAGTCCAAGAAGAAATAGACTGACCTCAAATTCCAAAGAAGAATTCCCATGGCTAGTAGCTTGGCCTAGATCCATGGTTGTGCGTGGGTCTTACGTTTGAGCCAATGGCAAAATGGTTGCCAATCATTAGGTTCTGCACACTGGAATCGCCCGATTCCCAACGCAGCCACTTGAAACTGCTAGGGGCCGTGGTTTCCCATGGGCGAGAAGCGCGGCAGTCAATGACTAGCGTCCTCCAACAGCTCAATTGAATCAATTTGTGTGGACCAGAACTGGCGGGGGTATGAGGCCCTCCGGCACAAGGTCGGGTTCGTTCGCCCCAAGTGTTCGTTGGTCTTTTGGAGACGAAGGAAGGATCTCCAGCTCTTGGAGACTTGGAGGGCTAATGAAGTGATCTCTTGGATCGCTTCCACCCGTGATGAACAGCAAAAGGCTGGCACAGCGCGGGCGAGACAAAAGGCGCTGACACGGGCACGCGCAGTGTCTATGTTTGTGTGTCGTTTTTCAATGTCCTCCGCCAAGCGCCTAGGTCCCGTGGCCATTTTGGGGCTCCAGGAATTCATTGGCTGCACCCGCTCCCCGGAGTCAATCACCAAATCCCAGAGCCAAGTTTAGAAGAGCTGAGTTTGTGCAATCTGTAGGATTTTGGGGCAAGGTGGAGGAGTTCCAGCTCGGTTTGGAGGGGTTTTGGGGGCCCCCAACTGCTAACATACCCACCTTTGACCTCGGATCAGTGCCTTTGACCTCGGGGTGCAGCTGGCATGGGACGCGGTGCAGCTGGCATGAGGCACATGGTGCGTTTCGGTGAGATCCGGCGATGAAGAGCCACTCGGGACATGCAGAGCCAGGCTGGAGGCTCCGACTCCCAGGGCCGTTGGGGTCGGGCGACCCCATAGACGAGAAGGGGTCTTTGTCAGGTGGTTGAGACTTTTTTTCCCCCAACAAGGGCGACATGCTCATATTAGGTAAGGCGGAGGATGTGGGTTTGGACGCTTACTGAATGACCCCGTTTGGATGGGTCAGGGCTCCTTCAAATTGTAGAGGCCATCACTGGTGTCAAAAGATCGCCAGGAGGTGTTGAAACATCCATCAGGGTCATGCCTAGCTATCCAGGCAAGTTGTAAATTGATCCAGGGTAGAACGAGAGGCAATGAAAGGCAAGATTGACCACAAGTCTCACGTCTGAAGTTCTATGATTTTATTTTGTTCATTTTTTTTTCCTCCTCTCTCCCTCTCTATAAAAAATATATATATATATATGTTATATATATATATAGAGTTGACCCTGAGGCACCAAAAGCCGTTTCAAGTCATCTCCAAGATACCTTGAGAGTCCCACATTCAGAGCCTGGAGCATCCTGCCACTCCGACTCCCTTTTCATCAAAGAGTGCGGCTTCCACTTTTTGTGCAGTCGACGGGCGGCCTCTTTCCGAGGTCAATTTCTCCTGAGGTCGCCGGCCTTCAAGGCACCTCAAAAAGAGAGTGACTGAGAGTGACATATGATATCATATGGCATCGTCTTCTTTTCCTACAGGTGGAGTGCAGACGGGGCACAGACGGTGGCCGAGAGATCTCTTGGACATCTGCTTTGGGGCGAAGTCTCATGGAGGACTCACATGCAAAGACCTGTCTCCCATATCGAGTGAAGGATGGTGAGAGTCATTCTGTAGATCAAGAGTTTGCCATGGGAGTCCCAGACTTCCTTAAGCAAATCACAACATATTCAAACATCAATAAATCGTCCCGAGGTGATACAACTAAAGCCCTTCCTTTACTTTGGTGGGGCGAACATGGTGCGCCCGGGCGCCCCAGCCCCCAGCCCGGAGGCCTCTCCCAGCTCCCGCTCCACGACGCCTCGCCAACGAGCTTCCCGGCGCGACCGCGGTGTCCATGGGGCCCGCAGTGCGCGCGGCCAGCCTGGTGGGGTCGATCAAGCTGGAGGGCGACTGGAGGCCTGGTGAGTGGAGCGGAGCATAGCGGAGCATAGCGGAGCTGTGGTTGGGAGAGGTCAAGTTGAGCAACCGAAAACGAGAAGAATGAGGAAAGAACTCTCCGCCAGCAGTTCCATGTCGGGGTCCCAAACTTCGTGGATAAGGGTGCTGTCACATCCACTCACTGGATAGGACTAAAGGCAACCCCTTCGTGACTGGCGGGATGTCATTGAAGCAACGGGTCACGGGAAGTGGCATGATTTGTGTAGGGCACGACGCGCGACACTGGATGACACTGAGTGCGAAATGCCGCAGGAGAGAGCCCAGGAGAGCCCGACCCAGAGCCCGGCGCGACCGCGCAGTGCAAAGGCCCAAGCTGTGCGAAAGTCAGAGTGTCTTGGATGGATGGTAGATGGGTCCGCGGCACCACATCTCTTTTTTTTCTCGGTGCTTTTACCTCTCGCCAAGCTTCGATGCCACAGGCTCTCTGGCCCAAAAGTGGCCGAGGTCAAGGATCATTCGCCTTGGAACCTCCACATCCTAGCTGCAAAGACCACTCACAAGGTCTCCTGCTCAGCTATCTGAGCTCGCCCGGCCGAACTTCAATTTCATCTGGCCCTTGGCTCTCGTACACAACTGGTGCACCCATTGTTGTGCGCGGCCTTCCACCACTCTGCAATGCTTCAGGCATTGTTGACACTCAATCCACCTTCCTTTCTTGTGGAGGGCATGGCTTGGGTGGATGCGCATGCGTAAGTGGAGTTCAGATTCATCCACAGGGCCAGTGATGCATTCTTTGGCTTGCAACTGCTGCAGTTGAGTTTTCCCACTTCTGCGTGAGATGCGCTCCCAGCACAGCCTGCACCCAAAGTTGTTTCCTTGTAGAAACCAACGGTGCCCACTTTGGCCTTCTGCACGAAGGCTGGAGTCATGGCACCACATCTCTCTCCCTCTCTCTCTCTCTCTTTGTTCCCCAGGGCGGTCGCAATGATGATTGCACCCGCTGACGGTGTTCTTCGTGAGTTGAAACCAGCGAGCAGAACACCACACCACCACACCACCGCCCGAACGCCCTCGCCTCGGTGTGTGGCTCGATGTGGCTCGTGGGAACAGCATGCTTCACTCAGCCTCGATCCGGCGACCGGAACCTGATGAATGTTTGGATGTCGATCATCCTGGGAATGGTCGACATGAACCTATGACAGTGTCTCTTTTTTCCCACGCTTCGAAACATCGCTGAATCAGTCACCAAGTTCACCTAATAATGGATCCATGTAGATCCAATGCGTAGAAGATCGCTGAAATCACCTAACATAGATCCCTATATATTTATACGTCTTTTCTGCCTGCCCGCCTGCCGAAACGCGACGGCTCCGCCGAGCCGTTCTGCCGACCCGCCGCCCAGGCTGCAGTGTTTAGAGATGGTCCTCCGAAGGCCGTGGCGTTCGAACGGTGGGTGGATGATGGGTAAGGCACCGGGGCAGGGGCCCAAAAGGAGTAACAAAGAGGGAGGAACCAAGAGTCCCACATGAAAGAGATGGGTTTAGGGTTTAGCTACCCATGTAGAATGATCCGGGTTTCGGCGATTTTTGGCTTGCAATTATCGTGGATGTTGCGCCACATTCATCAGATTGTCTAATTATCGATCATGGGTGTCTCGTTTTTTTTGAACACGCAGCAGTTGCATCAATCTACAACAAGATGGACCTTGCTACCCAGGACTGTTTATATCATGTTTGCTTTCACTTGTCAACAGACCCAGAGCTGCGGTCAACGAACATCTCCGCGGTGCTGGTGACTCAGAGTGCTGGCGAATCGTTTCTTTTGGCAAGTGGCGATCTGAAACCGAACCCCTTGGCCAGATGGCTACGTAATGCGATTTCTCCAACCAGCTGAACTTCCCGAGCCGAGCCGAACCTTCGCCAGTTGGACTTCACTTCTCAAAGCCCTAAACCCATTTGGGGCCGATCTCGAGAGACATGTGGTAGCTATAATTATGCTTTGAACCTTCATGCCAGCCACTCACCATCTCAGTCAGGCTCTGTGCCACTCATCCAGATCTGCCCAGGAGCTGCCCAAGGGATGCGCAGGTGGCTGGCTACCTGCGGCGAGCGCACAACGTGGAGCCGACCGGGCAGGCCGAAGAAAGAAGGGTTGAAGTTGAAGTGGCTTATCAAATCGAACCCATTCCAGCGTGGCCAGTCTTATCAGTGGATGTTGCACACATTCTATTGAATACCTCTGCTGATGCCCGATGAAATCATAGATTCCTCATTGCGCCCGAGTGTGCCTCGCCGTCCGCTGCGCTGTCATCGTCCGCAAGCTTCTCACATCTCCTATATACTTACAGTCGTTTCAGAGGTTCGATGGCACTGGCACCCGAAGAAGTCCTTTAGATGGGGTCCATATAAACCACTGACATTGGGGTTTGTGCCATTTACTCTCAATCCACAGTCCTTGCTCCGGTCCTAACGTGGTGTCCATGCCCTCCGCCTGTGGCAAGCTGAGCCGGGGAAGCGCGGATCCCGCCGACTGGACCTTGCTCCACAGGAGCGGATTTTCTGCTTCGAGGGGCCCGATGAGCACATCCGCCGGGCCTTACTGCTGCAAGAGCCCCCCTGGGTGGAGTGGCTGGGCCCAAAAAACGGGGGCGAGCGAGCAGTTTCGGTCCTTTGGGGGCTCCTTGGAATCATGGTTAGGTGGAGTTCGCCGCTTCCGAGTTTGAACTTGGCCGTCCGAACTCGTGGCCTCCATCCACTTCCGTCTATGGCCATCCCGAATCGGGCCGCGACTCCTGGGCCAGCGAGGTCGGGGGGCGGTCGGCAGGACCAACAGAGCCCCCAACAGAGCCCCCAAACGACGAGGCCAGTTCGGTGGCTTGTCATTTTGCAGTTCGCCTTCTCTCTCTCTCTCTCTCTGTTGTGAAATCTATCCTGATGTTGAACAAGGGAGAAAGAAAGAGAGAGAGAGAGAGAGAGCTAGCTCTCAACATCCATGGTCTTCCATGATCCCTTTTCCCTCCAGATTCCAAGTCTTCCAAAAGGCAAGACTTTTCGGCTGGCTCTTGCACCCTCTCAGCATCCTACAGGACAGCTCGCCTGTCCGCTCCTTCCACCTGACCTCCCCTGATCTCCCCGATAAAACGGCGTCCAGTGACCTCCGCCGAGGAACGAGTCGGTGACCTCGCAGATCTTCCACTTGAAGTGGACTGTCTCGGACAGTGAAGCCGACTACTGCACCTTGGGCCAACCTTCTCGCTGGTGGCGAGTCCGTGAGGAGTCCGTGAGGAGTCCGTGAGAGGAGAGATCCGTGGTTCCTGAAAAGATGGACCTGACTGGAAGACGAGGGTGACCTCCACAAAGTCCACAAACTCCCGTGGGTTTTCCGGTTTGATGTGAATCTTCCGGGCGTATGTGTGATCCACCGTGAGTTGGTGGATGTCCAATGGTCAGCCCCCGTTCCACCACATGTGAGTGCAGGGGGTGGAATGGGGTCGAGGGTGTTGGTGAAGGGTGGGGATGCGAAGCTGCGAAGGGAGGAGTCATGAGCCCTTGATGGGCATTGAAGTACTGCATATTGAAGTCATGATCGTGGGAAGATCTGTGTTTTGTTGGATTTTGGTACCCTGTTCAATCTTTGTCGGGGCAGTTCTTCACCTGTGAAGCTGATTTGATGGCTAAACTGCCTGTAGGTGGCTTGGCTGAGCTGGAGTGAGCTACTTCAACGGACACTTTCCATCAACATGAGAACAGAATGGGACTTCAGAAGCGGCTAACTTACACTTACACCTCATCGTGCACGGTGGCCTCAGCATGATGATCATGATGGATTTTGGCCTCGACTCTCGACCAGTTCTTATTTTTGTGTTGTTGGGAACCGGAAACATCAGGTGAGCTGCGAGAAGGAGCGCTCTTCAATCACTTCCAGAAGAATCGCGAGCTAACCACCAAAGTGGGCCTTGCCAACAACCTCCGGAGGTGCGCGGTTTCACAGGCCACGCCTCCAAATAGGATCTCGACCGCCTTGGCGGGCACTCGCCGCCCCCCAACAATGGCATAAAACCAGTTATTGAACGGTGAAATGACACCGGGGGTTCACAGCACCTGTTCCCCAGATCTTTTTCTTGAGTTCCTGGCACTAGTAGTAATGCACTTGTTACTAGTAGCCATGCCCTTAGCTGCTAGAAGCGTCCTTGCTACTAGTCATGTCGACCGATTCCCTCCCCTGCCACCGGAGCCAAAGATCACCTCCCACATCGACCGTTTAACCTGCGTCGCGTGCGGCCGCAGGTTCGCCTGCGAGGAACAGGTGGACATCGACCGCTTCTTCCCACGCTGCTATGTGACCTGGATTGACCTGCTTTTTCTTCCAGCGCACGTGACGCCGAGGGGAAGCCCCACCCGCGCGGGGGTAACAAAACACGGTTCGGTGAAGTTCATGAATGTTTTGCTCCCTCTCTCTCTCTCTCTTATAACTTTTTCTCTCTCACCGGCTGCTGTGTGCCTTTGACCGGTTGCTGGTCGATATATTTGGATGATTACGTCCAGATATGCGTCAATGGACCTCGACAGATTCCGGATGCAAAAAAGAGCTGCAGGGAGCCCAGACAAGACATTCTCGTCGGGGATTGGGTCCACGGAATCCACGTTCATCAGCAATCCGATCCTCTCAACCGCCCCAAGGCACGGTGCGGAAAATCATCTCCCATTAGGGTTCCCTGCAGCTGGTGGTTGAAAGAGATCCCTTTGGTGTGTGATATTGGGGCCACAGCCACAAACTTACTTGCTGTCAAGCTGTCCAGTAACAGCAGCTGACTTCTCAAACGTTCCCTAAGAGGTGGCAAATTCTACTGTACATTTTGTTGCGTCACGTGCGGTGCTTGGTTTGCTTCAGCGTCACGTGGCAGCCGAAAATCAGAATGTTGGCGCGACACATGCTAGCTTGGTTGGAGGGTTTCCTCTTCCCTGAAGGTGTCGGTAAGGGCCCAGCGGGCGCCAGCCTCACATGTATACCTGGGAGGATGTTCGCACCCACGCAACACCTCGAGCCAAGGATATGAGCTCAGCCAGTGATGTGCAGGAGATGTTTTTTGATTTGTCCGGTTGGGCAGAGGGCAGGAGTGAGGTAGCCTTGCTGTGGTGCTGTTGGCGATGTGTTTGATGATTGAGTGCATGGGCGCATGTCCATGTCAGTGAAAAATAGAATCAAGTATAATCAAGTGATATCAAGCGCTTCTTTGACTGCATGGTGCTTAGTAAGGAATGAAGGAATGAGTTCCGCATGGAGAAAGACCGCGTGTGAACCGGGGGCGTTTGTCAAAGAATGTATATATTATCTTGGGTCGTCATACAGTATGATATGCTCAGCAGGCACAAAACCTTGCTTAAAGCATCTTTTGGAATGCGTAGACCCTGCACAGCTGATCTTCAGACGGAGTCTCACCTGCACTCCGCGGAGGTGTCGTCTTGGGAGTCTCAAACTGCACCTCCCAGATTCTTGAAAAAACTCGTCCTGGATGGCAATTCCTTAGGCTGAAGCTGGCTAGAATGGAGAGTGAATAAAGTGAATTAAGGTGACGTAAAGTGCGCCAATGGGGCCTTTATTCTTTAAAGACTCTTGTGAGATGTTGGTTGTCTGCATCATTGTGTAGTTCATTTTTGTTGGTTTTTGCTGTGTCCAAGGTCGATGCCAGATTCGATGGGGGGTTTTTGTTTGCACATGGAGGTACGTACTATATTTACAAACACACAATAGAAATAGTATTGCACATACACATGAAAAACATTGCTGATGGCCATGGGGAGAACAAGAGAGAGAGAGAGAGAGACACTGCTGCTGCGCTCTCGGCCGCCGAAGGACTTCGTCCTGGACTTCCGCCGGGGCGCGGCGCTCAACGTGCTACGACAGCATCTGAGGCTGTCGGCCTGGGCGGCCGAGCGCCAGAGGCGGCGAACGGTGGGGAGAGTGGAGGGTCAAAATGCAGGGTTGATGTGATGTACACGACCACATGGTGACACGTGGTGTTGGCAGCACTCTGACAGATCTCTGAAGAAATCGGGTATGATTTCAGACGATTTATCAGGGTAGGACCTTGCAGGGCTGTTGCATTCGCTTTTTTCCCAGAAGATGCGCAAGAACAAACAGAGCTGCCTCAGCGCTATAAGCAGAGTTGCTTGGACGATGTGGGCCTCACCATCCCTCACCCTTTGTTGTGCCTCCTTCTTTGCCCGCTCGGGTCGAGCTTTCGCAGCCGAACCTTTCGGGAGGTTGATGGAGGTTGCGAAGATGGACTGGGCCGGCAGCAGCTACATGTGCAACGTCAACGTCCTGAGGACCCTGGAAGTTTCCGCGCGGCGAGTCCTTCCGCCCCAAAGTGGGCAGTTGGAACGTGGGGTGCCTGTAGCTGGACAGACTGTAGCCACTGTAGCTGGAACTCAGTCATTGGTGAGTTTCTATTCGATTTTGTGGGGGGATATGATCTTGAATCTTGAGGTATCTACTGTAAAGCAATTCTAACAGCAACCAGGTGTTCTCCAATTTGCAACCGGGTGCTGAGATTTGTTGCCCGCACTACAGCCCGTAGCCATTTTGCCCCCAATGCCACAGTTGTGGCACTACAGCGAGTCTTCTAGCGATAGTCCTAGCACTCTTGAGTATCTGAGCACCGCCAGCAGCAGCGAGGATAGTGACATTGAGTGTGGGCCTTGAATGTTCAAACTTTATGGGGTGATTCCTCAACACACTCCCTCCCGAGGATGCAGCCCTATGCCATCAAGCTGTCACCAACGCAGATTAGGGGCATCGAGTTTGGTCCAAGCTTTGCTGAGGCTACAGGCTTCTTACTTAGCCTAGGGCCTAGTTTGCCCGTTCTAGCACCAGGGCGGTACATTGGCAGAGTTTGCTTTTCCTAGGCCTGGCAAATTGCCTGAAGCCTTTGACGGCACCAATGACCATCATGACAGACTGCCAGCCCCTCAAATTTACTTTTGCACTGCCCCCTACAGGAGTTTGTTGTTTTATCATACAAGGTTCGGGAGCAGAAGCTCCAGTGCTGTCATTGGACATGCTTCTTCGTGGCGCTGGATGCATCGATTTGTACACACATGTGCACCTCACTTGGAAGGGCAATGTTGGCCAAGGTCAGTTTTTGCCAACTTACCCTGAGGTCAGCTTGCGACAAAGCCCCTGGACCTCAAAAGTTCTTCCGAGAGAACTTCCCAACCGTCCCGTCAGTGTCTTAATATAGTTCTTCGTTGTCAATCTGAATCATGGTTTGAGGTTGCTTCATGGCTTGAGGTTGCAGGAAGACCTGGAGACAAGGGAGATTAAGCACCTGAAAGGGAAGGTCAGGCTCTAAGGACTGTCCACACTCCACACGGTCTTTCTAGATCTTTCTGGCAGGTTTTTGCCTACACGGCTGGCTTCCCGTGCAAAGCCTTTTCCAAGCTTCGGTGCTTCTCCGACTGGCTGGAGGATCGAGAGGCCAAGCAGTTCTGGTGGGTCCGTGACAGCATTGCTGTCATCCAGCCCAAGGTGCCCAGCCTTTCTGTGAATTTGGGGCGCAACACTGTCACCAGCAGCAACGTGTAGGATTCAAGCAACTTTTTGTCAGGTTGTGATTTTAGAGAACGTGTTGGGAATCAAGAAGGTCATGGAAGAGGTCAAGGCCGCGTTGATGGAATGCGGTGACTACGACATAACTGTGCAAGAGTTGGATCCGTTCCATGGTTTAAACACATGTTTGTAATGGTCCCAGGATTCTTGAACGCAAGAAGGACTAGAGCCCCAGCACTCTGTCTTGTAGTTGAGGTTGGAGCTCGGCATCAATGTCACCAGACGTCGCTTCTACTTTGTCATGGTTCGGAGAGATGTTCTTGGAGGTGAAAGCCTGGACCAATGCGCAGCTTCTGTGGTGGAAGCCCTGAGCACGAACCGTGCCACCATACCATGGTCTGATTCTTACTTGTCCATGGCGCTCAAACTTAATTGTTGTTTGCTCTCAGGACAGATTTCCTGTTGGACGACAAGGACGAGATTGTAAAGTCCCTCCGATCCAGGCTTCAGGCACATGCAAATTGTAAGTTTCCTGAACTGAGTGGATTTGGTTATGAGCAGGCACGAGCTAAGAAAATGAAGAACAAAACTTCAAAGGTGTATCCGATCGGCAAGAGGCTAGGCTTTTGTTTCAGACAAGTATCAAACTATAATCAACTTCAAATCTAATTCTCTTCATTGAGGCCATCAAAAAAGCAACCCAAATGGTGTCGATACCATTGGACCTTTGTGAAGAAGCACCAGGTGTGATAATTGGCTACTTTGTCCATGGTCCGGATTCTGGCTTTCCACCAGGTGGATGCCGAGAAAGCCCGGAAGAGACTCGTTTCCTGTGGCCCTTGCGGATTATCCCAACGATGTCAGCAGGTAGTTTTTTGCATACTCAAAAAGGTTTCTTGTTTCTTCGATTCTTTGCCAGGCCCTAGCGATCCTCTCGGCCAAGAACCGTCATTTGGTTTGCGCTGACATCAGCCAGAACCTTGGGCGCATGCCTACAATGACAAGCTGCAACCAGCCCTTTCCCGTCATCACGCCCATTGCTCAGCTTCTTTCCCTATCATCAACCCCTCGCCATGCAACCAGTTTTCAACTTAAGGCCAAAAGGTTGCTACTGGCTACATCATGCCAAACGCCCGTTGACAGGCAATGTTTCTTTCTCCCTCCACCATCCTATGTGAGAGACTGTGAAACTGGCTTGCTGGCGCGGAGGTGCGGAAAAAATGCTGCTGCAAGGATTTCCGCTACATCGTCTTCAGCTAGGAACACTCAGCGAACAGGACTGGACACACCAACCCATTTCACAACCGAGCAACTCAAGCATGCAGGAAATTGGTGACTTGGGGGGCAACTCTATGCATCTCCGCTCCATGGCCTGTGCTTGGGCTATTGCGCTCAAGGCCGGGAGAAAACAGTGTTGCTAATTATTGAACAAAACGATTGAACAACCTCAGGCTTGCGACATGGATGCTGTGAACAAGTTCTGCGCTCGGTTGAAACTAAGGTTCCCCCTGGCCACCTTCCATTACCATTCTCTACCACCCGCCTTTTGGGAACGAGAAGCTAAGGCTCTCATTCCTTGGTCCCAGCTACCTAGCCATCTCACTCTGTGCAGGAAGGGCGCTCCATGAGGCACCTCAAGGCATGGCTGAGCAGTGGGACAGGGCTGAGCACTGAACCGAGCCCACCCAACTGACTAGGGAATTCCTGAGCTTTGAGACTACGTACCTTCACCTGCTTGGTGTTGCCTGCTCTGTTGAGCCATCTTAAGCCCATAAAGTTTGCAAGAGTTTATCAAGAGTTGCAATCAGATTCAACTCTGGCTTTCTTCCTGCCTCAGCCACTGTCTGTTGGCCTCAGCAGGCGCGTCCAGGGCCTCAGCCATGGTGGAACAGGTCAAGTCAGAGGTGAAGAAAGAAGAACCCAAACTATTCGATGGGGAGTTTAAATCAGAGGAGGACGGGTCCAAAATGGCTTCAGCTAGGGATATCATCTGGGCAACTTTTCAACGGGTGCTTTTCTTAGACTCACTGTTTTACACAATGAGCAACTGATTCATTGCCTCAAATTGTGTGCATGCTGCTCTGAGGTGACTCAAAACCAGAACCTCGGAGACTGGCTGAACGACAGGTACCAGGACCGTGCCACGTTCGAATCGGCTATCCGCCGAATTGCCTATGAACGCCGGCCTGATCACATGCCCGCACTGGTTTCCATTGTGCCCAATTCCACTGTCAATGAGCTTTTCGTGGGACTACACCAGTTGGACTATTCCAAGGATGCCAAGAGCGGTTGTGTCTAGACATAGATAAGATGAGAAAACAATGATCGGTGTTGCTGTTTTTTGTGCAAAATCAATGTTGACAACCAACTAAGTCTTTCCTCACATGGCGACACTGAGCATACACATGAAGAGTGTGATCTTCAACAACTTCAATGCCTACCGGGAACCGTTGCAAGTCAAGTTTACACCGACTAGTACACGCCAAGTGGACCCATTCAGCATTGGGTACGTTGACGGCTTTGGCAAGGGCCTGATAATTCAGGGAATTATCGGTCTGGTAGATTCCCTAGAGCCTCTTTCAATTATCAACAATTTTGGATATTCGTTTAGTTTTGTTGCGTTGTTCTGGAAACTGCCTACTCAGTTCCAACGGCTTCCATTCTCGATCACGTCTAAGGAGTGGCCAGTGGAGGATCTTGATTCACCTGACTTAGCTCCCTTGCTACAGTCCCTGTGTTTCTGCAAAGCTCAATATCGCCACCAAGAAAACCCAGCGGAATATATCTATGAGAGCCTGCGCTCGAGACTTAAAATTGTGCAGCTTCCCTCCCCCAAAGCTCCACCCACGAACTCGAGCCCCGCTTGAGGTCTCGGACATGAGACGTCAGACAAACAGCCGCCAAGCGCCCTGGAATACGTCGGACAGTTCCAGAGAGCAATTGAGCTGATGAAAGTGAAACAAGGGAAGTCTTCCATTCCTCTCTCTCAGTCTTTGGGGGCTTGCATTGCCGAGTTCAACAAAACCACAGTCCAGAGAAAGTACAAGATAGACACTTGCAGACGGAAGGTTCTCACCAATTTGATGAGAGCTCCACGGGGCTTCTCTGATCTACTTGCTGGTCACTATGACAAGCACAAGCACAGCAGTTCAGGTGCGATTCAGTTTGTGCACGGTGTGCACATCTATTATATATTGATTCTGCAGCCCTCACCGAATCAAAACTCATGAGAGTGTGTGTGGCACAACATGCACTCAACTGTTCAGTAGATACCGCCGGGGTCAGTTTGCATGCAATGGGCAACGAGGAGATTGGGTCATGGCTTTTCCCCATCATGTCACATTTCAATTTTTGTTTGACATTTTAACATCATAGTCTCCTGATGGGGAAATGGCGCGCCAGTGCATCTCGAAGTAGAACACCTCCAAGGGCATGTGCTCTTGGACGGTGGCGCGCTGACGAGAGTGACCAGGAGTTGCATTCACAAAGTGATTCCAGCTCTGACTCAAGTTCTACATCTTCCACACCTTTACATGATCACAGGACTTGGTTTTGGGTACCATAGGGTGAATCGTGGAATACTGGACCTGCATGTTTCTTTGACATCACGTTGGTTGGGATCTCTCCAGGCCAAAGGAGGCTGATCTATCTTTCCAGCATTTGGCATCTCTCAAAGCGGCCAACGATGAGGATGAGAAGTGGAGTGTTTATGCTGAGAATGGTACTTCCAAGGAAAGAATCAGGGAAGTATTGTCCTCTCGTGAATCATCTGGGTGCC